ACATTATGAACAGTGAACATACCAGTTTAAACACAAAAATAAGTTAATAAAAGACACGTAACAGTAAAAGTTTTGGTGTGAATCACAATATAAGGGGGGACATGAGCTGCTTGCTGGAGGTCTGCGCTCTCCGAGTGCTTTTCTAGTTGTTAATATGCATTTAATATTGAGTTAGGGAAAAAATACAGTGGTCATCACTGCACTGCTGCACAGTCAACATGCATGTTTGCAAACTGGCTAAGTGCTGTGCGTACATTTCGCAGGTGGCGCAGTAAAATTATCTTTTTATTACTACACCACGTCGAGAGGAACCGTAGCTACCATGGAACCTCTGAGACCATTGTGGGTGCATATGCTTTTCCAATTGACCAATACTGGTACATCAACATTACAAAGGCTCTAAATTGCAATTTGGGCACTCTAAAGACTGTTGCATAATTCAGAAACGCACCCTATTTATGGGCCGCTCAAGGAAATGAAAAAAAAAAAGACTGAGAGTTGTCCAGTCTTGTGTTCTTGATGAAACTTATATTGAAGGTCTTCAAATGTAATGAAGGAACAAAAAACACAAATGCTCTAATTCTTTAGTGATTTCTTTTCTTGACTGGCTCTCACTAAAATACTTTGGCACTTTTTCACTTTTTTCAACAATGAAAATGTAGGATCAGTTTGTTTTTGGTAATTTCAATGATCTATTTTCTCTTACAGCACAGCTGTGGATGTGTACATTTTTAATAAAGTTACTTTTCATGTGGATTTGTGGTTTCAGATGCTTGGTTGGTACTGACCTCATCAGTGGCACCCAGCCATCAAACTTGAGCCAAAGTAGAGGGAGGACTGATGAGAAGAGGATCAGGTCAATGGTGAGTCAAACCTCATGGCTCCTCAGGTGGTTTATGGACTTAGACTGACGCTGTGCTGTAGTCATGAGCAGGATACAGACTCTTTTCTTACCTTATAATAATTATTATCCAAATAATTATTCACAGTCATTGCTGATATCTTCAAGGATTTATCTCTACTTTTGTTGGTCTGTCTAAAAAAATGCATGTGAGATTATTCGGATGATCATGAATCATCAGCTGCAAAGCTTCAATGTGACGTTACTTGTTAGAAGCGTGTTTAACAGTTTGGGACCATAGACTGTATATAGAACGGGCGCCGTCCGCCTCCTCGCTGGGTGAAGCCACCGCGGGAACAGCACCCTCTGGTGACGGGCTGCAGTGTAGGTCATAAATCCCGCCTCCCTTAGCAATCCCTATGGAGCTGTGGACAAACATTAGAGATTTATTATACAGATTATAAATTTTTCTGCGATGTTGACGTAGTTATTGTAAGACTGGTTTTGGCTCAAGTCCTCTTTTTTTCTGTACAGCTCCATTTTTAAAAGTTATTAGGGGGTTCCTGTTTTCTATGATTGACACTTGATACAGCCTATGGGCGTAAGGAGATTACGCAGCTCACCCAGGGGATAAGCTGTTTGAGCCGAGCGTCATCACAGTGACTCTACAACGCGTACAACGCTACTGCGCAAGTGGTGGTTCCAGGAAGTGGAGAAAATCTTGGAAATATGGAGAGCAATTCCGCTTCAAATCCGTATAATGACAGAAGGCGGAACTAAGTTGTTCATAGTATATATACAGGTTATGTTTGAGACACAGACCTATCCTTGACTTGTTTTCCAAAAGTAAATAAAAGGTGAGCAGAGAAGTGAGTTTTCTGTGGCTTAACTGTAAATAATTGTTGTTTAGAATAAAAAAAAGGCATATTAAAATTTGAACTTCAAGAGCAGAATTAAAAATTTCCCTTTGGGGACCAATTAAGTTCTTATCTTAAAGGGTAACTGTGTTACATGACACTGGCACTACTTTTAGATAATCTCAGATTTAAGTCATGTGTCAACTACTGACTTGAACAAGTCTTGGGTTTCTGCAGCTCTGACTTAGGTTTCATTTATTAGGTTATTTTAAAGTGCAGTATTAATGCATTGTGGATTTGGAGCATGTTTAATCTCTTTGCACACTCTATTAAATGGTGGAGTTTTCTTATAAACAAGTCTGAATTGAGTTTTTACACAATTTTTCTCAAACACTGTATACTAAATGTTTTTCCTGTCTGGTTGAACCATAGACTGTACATAGAATGGACAGAGTCTGCCTCCTCTCTGGGTGAAGCCACTCCGAGAACAGCACCCTCTGGTGACGGGCTGCAGTATAGGTCATAAATCCCGCCTCCCTTAGCAATCCCTATAGTGCTGTGGACAAACGTTAGAGATTTATTATACATATTATAAATTTGTTTATAATAAACTTTATATAAACTTTAGAAATTTATTATACAGAACATAATTTTTTCTCCCCCTCTCTTGTGATGTTGACATGTAGATGTTGTAAGACTGGTTTGTGCTCAAGTCCTCTTTTTTTCTGTGAAGCTCCATTTTTAAAAGTTATTAGGGGGTTCATGTTTTCTATGATTGACACCTGATACAGCTTATGGGCGTTCAAGGATTGTGTAGCTCTCCCGGGGGATACGCTGTTTGAGCCGAGCGTCATCACAGCGACTCTGTGACTGCGCACCCAAATGCGCGCATTGCTACTGCGCAGCGCTGGTTTCAGGAAATGAAGAAAAATCCCGGAAATACTGAGAGCTATTTGGCTTCAAATCCATATACAGGCGGGAGGCGGAACCAAGTTGTCCATAGTATATACAGTCTATGGGTTGAACATTTTAAAGGCCAATAGTTTTCAATCTTGCAATATTCCGTCTGTTAGTACACAAAAGAGAAGATTTCCCAGCTGTCCTTTGTGCTTCTTTACCCACCGCATTCTTGTGTGTGTTTAGGACACAAAGATAACCTACTCCTCACTATAAACCCTAAACCCCCAGTGGTGAAAACTCTGCAGGGTACCTCAAAGTACGGAAACAAAAACACAGTCATCATAGCCCAGACCTAAACCTGAAACAAAAAGCAGAGAATAAGAGGCAGCAGGTATGAAAAAGATAGATTTATTTAATGACAAATTATAACAGAAAGAGTCAAAGAGATGAGGGAGAGCAGCAACATTACTGAGACTCCACATGTAGAGCAAGGGAGAGATGATTGGCTTGACCTCCCTCCCTCCTCAAGAGACAAAAAAAAGGAAAGAAAAGACTTACCACACAAACAAGAGGACGGAGAGACAAATAGATGAGGAGAAAACAATTCACCTGGGCATAAAAACAAACCTTCAGAAGAACGACACAACTTGCTTTTTAACTACAAACACTGAAGTTTAGCCACAAGTTTTACAACTGCCTTTTAATTTTTGTTTTTAAAAGTCATTACAAAAAATGATAATTATGATAATCTCCATTTAATAATAACAATAGCAATATTGTAACGGTAGAAACTGTCCCTCATTCCTGGTTGGGTGATCAGTCAATCAGTGGTTGAGGCCGACACTGACGGCAGACAGAGCGAGACAGAGGCAGAGAAGAAATGAAAGAAGAAGAAGAAGAGCAGGGAGATGAGACAGGAGGAAGTGAGCAGGCTTTTTGCCACATGTCCATATCAAACACGCACACACTTACACTTTCACACACACACATTCACAGACAAACACACACAGAAGTTCTTCTCTCCTCTCACACAAAAAACAACTAAAATAATTAAAAAGAAATAACATACTTAAGAAATAAACCCAAAAGAAAACTGTGACTCAACTGAAATGCAGTGTATTTTTTTTCCTCGCTCTGAAAAACAAACAAAAAATAAAATTGAAAATGCTCTGACGTACAGTTAATTCATCCACATTCACACGTTCACACACTGCCTGTAATGCAAAGAACAGGTGTGTGTTGAGTGTGTGTGTGCGACCACTACTGTTTGTGTCCACTCTGTGAAAATAAAAATAACAAAAAAACAAAAACAAACATCCAATGTTGACGTAGCCATGGGCTTTTTAAATCCATACAGTATGAGAGCAGAGTCTGTTCTAGGAGCTATCAAAGACGACGACGGTCAACTATTTAAAGAGCGGCCGATGCACAATCTTTAGCCCCGGGTGAACCAATGTGGACCGGATGCAGACCAGAAGGAAACCAGATGTAAGGATGTTCAGTAGACCCAACTCATCCACTGCAGTCATCCTGGACAGAACTGGGTGTGTGTGTGTGTGTGTGTGGTATTATGGGTGCTACAGCCGCCCATTCCTATGGGTAAAGGTCCAGTCATGACCACAAATAGCCACATCTGTGGTGGACGTGGAGGTGGTTTTCCTTATCAGCTGTTTGTCAGCTCTGGGTTTCACTTGGAGCTAATTCATACATGGAGACACCCGCTGTGGAGAAACGAAGCCACTGACATGGATGTGGAGCCCTGCAAGTGCTGGAGGAGCATGAGTCGTTCGATCCAGGAGGTCCAGAGGGTACCGAGGTGGATTTAAAGCAGCAGATATTTTTCGGGGTGTGCACTAAATAGCTGACTAGCTACCCCGCACTGACCAGGAGTCCTTGTTGAAATCTAGCTTGAGAAAGAGGAGCAGTCTCCGCTCTGTGAGAGGAGGATGGAGAGCTGTACTCTTTGAAAACAGGAAGATGAATGAGGGCAAGAGGGAAACTAAAATAAGGGGGGGAGGGGGGCTAGACTGAACAGCTTCTCAGTTTGTGTCCGTGTTTATGACCAAGAGACAGAGACTGCATGTGTGTGCAGGAGTCTCACTTTAACGTGTGTGTGTGTTTAGAAGTCTATAGCCATCACTACACAGCCATGTCCATGTGTACATGTTCCTCCATTCATTACATTCATCCATCCATCCATCCATCCATCCATCCACTCATCCATCCATCCATCCATCACACCCCCTGGGTCTCCACAGCTGCCTGATCAGACAGTCCAGTTCCACTTCTCAAGGGGTGAGGCTGAGAGGGGGGGGCGCTGTGAGGTCACAACTCATTTGACCCCCTAAAAATGCCCCCTTACACAATCTCTAACTTTTTGACCCTCTTCTTCTGAAAAGTTCTTAGCACATGGAGATAGTGACGTTGATACCGAGGTTGCCGTTCTCCGCGAACAGCTGTGCGATGGATGTGTCGAACACCAGGCAGTCGCTGTTCATGATTGCCGTGGCGATGCCCTCGTGGATGGAGCGCGGTGTGGCCTCCCAGGTCAGGCGGCGCCGGTGCCCGTTCAGCTCCAGCCTGTAGGCGAAGTTTTCTGCCTGCTTGCGAGTCCCGATGAGCTGCACGATGGCAAAGAACTGTTGGTGGCCGTCGTATTTCTCCTGCTTCTCCAGGACCAGCATGAAGTGGAAGCCGAAGCAGGACTGCATCATCACCCAGTCTACGGCGCCCGGGAGGTTGATGTCTGTGGCCAGGAACACGATGTCCTCCCCCTGGACAGAGACAAGCACAAAAAGTCAGTGAAAACAAGACTTTGTTAAGGGGACACTGAGACAGGAAAACGGAGAACTTGAGCATGCTAACTTTCCTACATCCACACATGACATCAGTTTATAGGGCCGGTGATGTGCTGATGTCACAGTGGTAAGTGTGAGTCTGACGGAAAACACCAACTGTTGTGGTGTCTGGGGAGTCACATATTCAGCATGCTAAACATGCAGAAGGCAACAGTTGCCTCCTCCAAACACATGACAATGTGGAGGAGTCTGGCTGTTGGCAAATGTTGTGTGATCATGAAAAGGAGCAGGAGACCCAAAAATAGCATTTAACTGTTGATGTGTCCTTTTTTAAATACAGAGGACCAGTTTGTTCAGTAGACTCAATGTTTTAGTGTCAGATTAAGGCTATAGTGAACCATGTAGTGAGGGTTTTCCTGAGGGATCAGTGTGTTCTGAGTCTTTTTTACCCAAGAAACTGAACATAGAATACTGCTGTCAACTTAAATCAACTATGTTTCTACTGATCCACTTTGTTCAGCCTCACTCATGCTGACAGGTGGCTGAATAGTCCGACTACACGAATGTGGATATATTTCAAACTGCACATATTTATGTCCGATTAGGCCTCCCAACCACACCAAAACGGGAGTTTGGAACACTCAAACCGGATAAATCTGAATCCAAAAAAACAAGTGGAGAAATAAAAAAATATCCGTATAAGTGGATTCGTGTGGTTGAACTTTTACGGATCGATAACGTCAAACCGCAGCTCGTGCATGCGAATTAAAAAGAAAAACAACAACAACGATGGCGGACATACAGGGTAGTCTTTACGTTTGTTTTGCCCTTTTGGGGCTAATTTCAGCCTTGCAAGTGAACCTTGTTTTATACAATTTCATCCACCAGTCAGCCAGCTCACAGAGGTGTCTGCTTTGTTATAGCAGCCACATCGTCACATGGACCCGACGCACTAACGTAGCTTCTGCAAACAATGCATGACGCTGTTACGATTCATCGGCCAATCAGGTAGCTTTGTTCCTGAATTTTTTTTAAGCGGCACCAGATAGGATTGAGTTTGAAGGCTACGTGTGGACGCAGATATTTTTGAGAACTAACACGTGTGGACAGATACAGTTATTTAGACGGGAGTACAAAAATATCCTGATAGATAAATATGTATATATGTGTAGTCCGGGCCTAACTCTGCAAGTTTAAATAAACAAACATGTGTCACTGACACTTTGTATGAAGTTAAGTTATGACACATGAAACGTTAACATTTTTAAAGGGTGTTATAGAGGAAAATATGACAGCCTTAATCGGGGTTTCTGCAGGTTTCAACAAGTCAAATTTAAGACTTTTTAAGACCATAATAAATACAACATAAGATCCATTTTACAGTCATACTGGCAAAAAAGCACAAAAGACATGAAGGGAGATCGAAACATTTTAAACTAACTTCAAATCAATCTTTATTTGTAAGAAACATCAATACATTTTGTAGAGCTTTCAAATTTGTATTTAAAGCCATTTTAAGAGGTTTTAAGAGAATTTTAGACATTTTAAGACTTTTTCAAACCCAGCAGAAACCCTGCCTAATGACCATCACAGCTCAGCCAAACTTTCTCTCAATATCTTTCAGGTTATGTGACCATCCTACTAAAAGATTCAATCAAACAGCTGAATATCAAAGTATTTCCTGCCTGGCAGTCTGGTATCATTTACTTCATTAGCACGAGAAGTTTTGGAAAACTTAGAACAAGGTGCATCCAGAATATGAAGTTTGCATTGACTTGTCCCTCTCTCTTTAACCTGCTGACATCTTGTATTTTTCATGGCTAAAGGTTTTTTTTTTTTGAAAGATTTCCAGTAGGTCAACAAAGTATATGATTTCTACAATCTCTGTGAAAACATGTGAGGAGTGGAGTTGTAGTCTAACCTGCAGTGTGGTGATGGACTTGTGCTGGTGCATCAGATGGGGCATGACAGCGTCCAGAGAGCCCTGCCACTTGCAGGAGGCTCCGGGGCAGGGGCATGAGTACGGCCGGAACTCGCACAGCTCTTCGTGCTCTGTCTTGTCAGTGTGAGGCAGGGTGACTTCACAGCCCGACGAGGCGTACTTGCATGGGAAGAGGACTGAGTTCGCTACCTTCTCCATGGCCAGATTCCTGATGGAGCCAAGAGGGCCTCGGCAGGTGGGGCAACAGGTGAGTTTGGGCCGGCAGTTGGAGCAAACCTGGGAATAAACACAACCAGTTATGAATTTAACAAAGTTAGAATCAGGAAGCACATCAAAATTCTGGCATTAGGCCTTTAAAATATTGCAAACACATCATTGTTGAAGTTTGATTAACCCAACATAACAGTTAAGAAAACAAAACTAAAAGTACACACTCAATGATCATTGTATTTCCATCATTTTTAAGTTGCATCCAGCTAATAAGCCTCTATACCAGATAACAACACTGATTTTTGAAGGTCCTATGGAGTGAATAGTGTCAACAATTACACCAACAGCATTGTAATTCAGTGTGTACTGGCTACTAATCACAAGGCTGTGATTTTCTACTTCATTCCTATTGGTCAGAACCCTTTGACAATGGCTGTTAATTCTACATAGTAGAAGAAATATCAGGGAAAACCAAGTCATGCAAGTAATACCAAATGAATCTGTGGGATAGAGCTCTGGCACATTTTACTCTCTGTTGACACTGAAAACAAAATGTTAGTTTCTGCTCACATTAAATTGGTAAATATTGAAAAGAACCGTAAATTTCTGTTAGCATGCTAAATTGGTAAGGCTAAAAAGTGTGGGCAATTTAGTTTTGAGTCATGTCCTGCAATTTATGGTGCGTTCCAGCTGTACTCGGAAGTCGCGATTTCTGGGTTAAGAGTCGGAACTTTCAATTAGAACGACCCCCGAGGTCAGATTTCTGACTCGGAAAGTCGGACGATCCTCACCAACCCCGATTTAATGACAACTTCATAATCCAAGATGGCAGCGCAGTGCATCAACAGTAGAGAGTAACAGTGAAAGCTCTCCTCATGTATTATTTATGAGCACTTCTGTTTTGTTTTTGTAAAATTGAATAAGAAGTATATGTTGTAATGTCCAACGTCTAACTGTGAACACAGTGCTATGGTATTTGTAAGAGTAAAATACTGTATTATATGTTGTTTACAACTGGTATAGCAAACAACAACTAACAACAGCTGACCACGGCTAACAACAACTGATAACAGCTAACGGCAGCTGTCAATTGTTAACAACAGCTAGAAGCAACAGTAGCCGTCTATCTTGGTTTTCCGACTTGTTTACTGGAACGCCGTCAACTCAGGCGTAACGTCAATCCCAGCTCCGACATCCGACTGTAACTGTAACACAGCTTTAGCCAATAGCAGCAAAGCTGGTGAGTTCACCTCTGAGCTCCAGCAAGTCACCTAAACTCTATGTTGAATGTTTAAAGTTGAAACTTTTGCGTCATTTACTTTTAAAGCTGTACCAACTCCAAAGCTCTGAGAAGGAGAGCTGAATGAGGACAAAACTAACAACAGTTACTTTGCAGAAGTTCTGTATACTTTATCAAACTATATCTTCGATGGAAATGTTCTGATTCATTTGACTTAAATCAAACCTGCCAACTCATGTTTGTGAATGGAAGTGTTCAGTCTAATTCCTCCAGCAAGCAGAGTGGAGAGAATCTCCTGTCATGGTAGCTGTGGAATCAGAAACTTGTTCAGTTAGTTAAATCAATTATTTTTATATCAACAAAAGTATTTCTAAAATTAAATTTTGCATCAAGACCCTTTTATACAAGGGTCCTGCCCAACCTGTCAGATTTCTGATTTTCATAATATCCTGCTCACCACACAAAGACTGTTAGTCATTTACTCACTCCACCAGGAACTGTAGCTTTAATTTAAAGACCTACCAAAGCTGTTTCTGTGATTTTTGTGACTCTACAGTTTATTTGGGGGCAAAGCAAAACTAAGCTAGCGAGGAAACAGAATCACAGGCAATGACCTTAGATTCAAAAGACTCAACAGGGATGTTTTGATATAAAACCATGGCAACACTTTTTTCCATAATGGGTGAATTCATGACTATTTATAGTTTTATGAATATTACGCAAACTCTTTAATAAAGGCCGGCTTGTTCTGCAGTCACAAACTTTTCCTCTGGTGGAAATCCTCAAACTTAGTGACGTCATGTTGAAACTTAAATCGATGAACATAAAATACAAGCGAGAGTCCTTAAATCCAATCCAAAATATATTGCTGGGTACACATAGCATACATACCAGGTGTCCGGACTGGCACTGCAGGATGGGTGGTAGGACATAGTCGAAGCAGACTGGGCACTCGAACAGGCTGGCCAGGTCACTGTTGGAGGCTGTGGTGCCTGTTAGGGTGGGCACGCGCTGAGAGGGAGGGCACTTAGAGGTTCCTGTGGGCAGCGCGGTGGCAGTCTGGCGACTCATTTCTGATAAGAGAAGGGAGAGAAAGAGGCTATGATAACACTTTCAGCACACTGTATGACACTGTATCGAGGAGAGAAGTCATTGTGTCAGAAAGGACAGAGTTATTTTGCTCATCTTGTTCTGACTTATTAAAAAAAAAAAAAAACGAGCAAAAGCCTCAACGTAAATGACTGAAGCTCTTACTCCTCTACATCAAAACTAACGGACTATCCACCACAAAGTGGGCCACAGAAAGATGACATAAACCCTGAGACTGACTCATCTAATCAGCAGATGCGACTTTGTCATGTTCTGAAGTAAACCATTTGTAACTGATTTTTGTCTTTTGACCTTTGAGATTAAACTGTTAGCATAATCCAAAATATCACATTCAAACTTTGTTGCACAGATCTGCTCACTAGTTCATTTTAGTTGTACCTAATATTTATGTCTGACCAAATCTTTCAAGTATTGAGGCTGGGGTCCAAGTTTATCCACTCAGTTCACATGTAGCTACAAGCAAAGATACTTTTCCTTGTAGCTCTTACAATAACAGAATCTTAAGCGTGGTCCAAATGCACTGTGTGTGCGCGCACTAAGTATCTACAAAAACACACACTCAGAATTTAAATGTCAAACAATACAGCTTTTGCCGTTTGCAGCACAGCAGTCGTGCTACCTGGATTTTTACTGTGAAAAGAGACCATTTCAAAACAAAGTGTTATTCAATACCTGTTATTCCAAAAGGCTGTGAGAAATTAACTCATTCACCTCAACTCTAACCTGCACACAGAGCTGTTAACAAAAAAAAAAAAAAATCACTGAAGACAGGATAATATTTTAAAATCGTTCAAAGCGCTACATAGTAAAATAGACATGATTTTTTGTTCTAATCCACATATTGTTAAATCACTGAATCATTGTTGCACAGTGGTGTGGTGCTGCTCGTGAAGCGGCAGGTTGCAGCTGATAGAAAACATCCAGAGACCAGGTGACCTCACTGTCTCTCTCTGCTCCCTGTCTGTAACAAACATTAACACAGCATGGGTCTTACAGGAAGCTTAAGGACTTAACACTGTGTCAGTATTTGCCATTAGATGAATGACTTAGCAGTAGTAGCTGTGACCATGTATGGGCAGCACAGTCCTGTCATAGAGCAGTCAGGATGAGGAGTGGCTTCACTCCTAAACCTGGCACACTCCTCCATGTTTGTGTGAAGGTGTGGGCACCTTTTCAAGTTCTAACAGCATAACCACTGTGAAATATTCAGTAAATAACGAGTCCATTTGAAGTTTTGCCATGTTGTTTTACCTCAGCTGCACTCTCTCTTTCACTCTCTGTCTTCATTTTCACATTGTGCTGTTTTTACAGTGTCACAGTTATGAAACATTTAACAACCTTAGCGTGAAGCTTTACTGTCAAGCAAGTATAACCTGTGGTTACTCACCTCTCTTAAAGCATGTAACTGACTAATCACTGATTGTTGAAAGTTTGATGATCTCATCACATTACTTTTAATGGCTCTTAATAAGCGATAATGATTTACATTTGAAACTGGATTCTAAACATGCCATCCAAGTGTTTAATCAAGGGCCCATTTTGTCTACGCTTTAAACAGAACTAGTGTTTATGTTATTTACAATGGTTACAGTTTACTCTACTGTTCAGTGGTAGGAAAGGAGGAAGAAAAGGGGATGAGGAGGGAAAAAGAAAGGTTTGGGGGTGAGGGACCAAACATATCAAAAGAGAGAAAAGTTTGAGTTTTGGTCCATCTTTGAAGTCAAATGTCCGAGTCCGTGACTGAAAGGTGTCCAATGTGACTTCTCTTCAAGTGCCAGCATCACTGTATGACTGTGCCAACAGAGTAATCTTGTTGAATAGTCTGCTGTTAGCTTATTGGTAAACCAGTACTCAGGTAATAGGGGATTAAACAGGATCCTTCCTGACTGTCCTGTGTTGATGTTTTTGTGGGAACCTTCTTGATCAATTACAAATGATTACCATATATTGAGATAATTTGCTTGTTCTCAAAATCTGAACTGTGTCCTATTAAAGCATAGTATCGCGATATTTGGTCCGGCAATATATTATATTGTCGAGTATCGATTTTTTCAAATGAATTGTTAATATGAAGTCAAATCTATGATAATAGAAAAATAAATTTAACCGTTTGTCCTGTGAGGTTGGCAGGTGACATCATAGAACATTAGAAACACATAAAGTTTGCAAGATGTACTACATGAAAATAAACTACTGTGTAAATAAGACAAACATAAAGGAAAGACAAATGCTAAATTAGCTAAACAGTTAAAAGAATTGTATGAATTGCAATATATTGTACCGCAATACTCAATGTATTGCAAAATGTTAAAAGTTGCAATAATATTGTGGCCCAGGTATCGCAATTATATTGTATCATGGGGCCACTAGTGATTTCCACCCCTACTTCATACAACAACCCAGTTTAAACCCTTTCTCATCTAAGAGCAGACCACGCATTATCCATTACAGCAATTCATATGCTGGATCTATGTATATTCAACTCATTTAGTCATCAATTTTTGGCAACAACCAGCCTGAGTGTGACGCCCCTACCAGTTCCCAACACTACCCAGTTTAGCATCCGCCTCTGATAGTTTAGACTCTGGCTCCTGCAGCCATGTGGATCTCATCTGAAATATACAGCCATGTCTTTCCAGCCTGAGATGAGGGATGAGCAGAGAAGACTCTGACAGTATCCTGTCTTTCTCTGCCTGTCAGTGTCGGGCTGAGCGTACTGTGTTCAACATGTTTATCAACAGCGAGACAATACAGAGCACATTTCACTGTTTACACGTGAACAAAAGAACCAGCAGACGGCAAAGTGAACTCAGATGTGCTGTATGTTTCTGTGTATCTGCTGTTTCCTATCATGCTGTGTAGTTGCCTTGGTAACAGGTTTGTGGTTAATTATGGGATGGCCTGTAGAGCTGAAGAAAAGAGGGAAAATAGGAAAGAAGAGGCAGGGAGAAAAAAAAGGGTATGTGTTGAGAAAAAGTGGAAGAAAGGAGGAGCAGCAGGAAAGGAGGAATGTGGCAGCAAAGTTGAGAATGAAGTGGGACGAGGATATGAGGGGAGAGAAAGATGGGATGGGGACATAGACACAAAGACAAACGCAGAGGACATCAGAGGAGGCGAAAAATGTTCCACAATGTAATGTGAGGACACAGCAACGTGGGTGTGGAGACAAAAAAAAGAAGGAAGGATGGGAGGATAGAGAGGATGTTTCTCGTGTCGGGTCTTTTCTGGGTAGTACAAGGTTTAAGTGGGATGACTGTGCAAACCCAAGTCCCCACCTACTCAGCACCTTAGCATAGTTCACACTTTTTATAGCCCTACCCACAGACAGATGCAACCCACAGAGACCCAGAACAGAGGAAAAGGAGAGGATAGTATGTGTGGGAGGGAAAGACTAAAAAAAAAAAAAAAAAGAGAGAGTAAGGTGGTGAAACAGTGCAGCAGTATGTAGACAGACAGTACAACAGCTGGGAAATTAACACCCACAACACAAGCAAAATGCTGCCAAAGCTTTAGTCATGGCTGCACTATTTGCTTAACCCAGCAGCTGATTTTACATTTTAAAGGGTGTTAAGTAGAAAAGACTGCTGGACTCGGGGAACACCACATGGGGTCTGATCTTTACAGTCTACATATCAGGTTTATCAGGATCTGGGTAGAAAAGCCAGAGATGACTTACAATACTGAACATTAATAAAGATTATGAAGCCTGATGAGTTGTCTTTTCCTAAACAGATGAATCACAAATCACAGCTCTAAATAGGAAGTGCTGTAAGAAAGTCCAGCGATTTGCGCTTGCCTGGTAAAACCACCAACTCAACGCAATAACATATTTATGCTTTTATCAACATCATCTTCTTCTTGCATAAGCTTCTCATTAACATCTAGCTTGAAACTTGGCAGAAGAAGCAGCCAGCAGACCGCTCGTGCAAGTGCATCTGTTTAAGTAAAGCTTCTGTGCATGCGCTCACATGCCAACTGCTGAGGTAAAAACGAGACCCAATGACAGTCGGTATTAGCTGGCTGCAACTGTGCCTGTCAGCTTGTAGACACATCTGCTGTGATGGAGATAATGCCTTCGCGGCTATTAATAGAACTTCCTAGCCGACTAGCATGCTAGCAGCAGTAGCGACAACATTGGGACCGAATTAGCTCTGGATATTCAGCTTGGCCAAGGCCAGGGTCGCAGTCAGCTGGCATGCAACGACTGTCAGTGGTTGTTCAGTCAGTCTGTGACTGGGCAGAAACAGCTGAAAGACAATGCCAGTAAAGGCTGCTGGTGGCAAAGACTTTTCAAGTAGGCAGGGAGCCTTATGCAACAGTATTTTTTAATGTACGATACTAATGTGCGAACAGCATGTCATGAACAATTTAAGTTTTGAACAAGATGAGGTTCTTCTCCGGCTGTGTGTATGCAAGTGTGTCTAATTTCATTGCTCCCTACCAAGTGAAACACAGTAGTCCCGGCTGTGCGACTGGTGGAAACGACAGGAGCCAATCCAAACTGACACTTTAATAAGATTTATAAACAAGATGCCTTCTGTCCCGACCACTTGCATCGAGCCACTGACGGCTTTACAGTTGAGGAACACTGACTGCAGCTCAGTCAGCAGAACCACTGTACAACTGAACATACTTCACTGAAATAGATCAACACTGGACCTCAACCAGGGGGCCCAGAGAGGGGGGACTTTTTGTAGTCTCAGAGTACAGAGAAACTTTCATTGCCACACCCGATATCAGAGCTATTGAACAAAAAGTGTTGTTTTCCTTCAATGATAAATGTCTGATGTGTTTACAGATACTATAGGATTTTTTTAGGATGCTTTCAATCCTGTAAGATCTGCATTCACTGCTTTGTGCCAGTTCATTGAGATTCCTGAGGTCAGTTTGATTATAATTGATGTGATTATCACATTGCTTCTGACTGACCGAGTAATGCAAGCATGCCCACACACCACACACACGTGCACGCACGCACACACACACACACACACACACACACACACACACACACACACACACACACACACACACACACACACACACACACACACACACACACAGTCAGAGGACTTAAAACAACAGAACTCAGGGTGTAACGGGTACATTAAAAGATGTGTCACACACTTATGAAAGACATTTTTTCATCATAAGGCGCTCAATTATCAGCAGTTCAGTATACAATTACTATAATGACCAAAATCCTCATGATGAAAATAAAGGCAGCCTGGACAAAAATAAGGTGAGGCTCTTAAAATAAAACTACTTGAACAAGTGTTACTGAAGATCTGAAAACTTAATTATATAATATCCAAGTGGAAGCTCATACGAGGGGCCAATATAAAATCATTCCTTATACTAGGGGTGGGAATCACCAGTGGCCCCACGATACGATATTATCATGATACAATGTTATCGCAATACTTGGGCCACGACACGATAATATTGCTATTTTTAACACTTTGCAATACAGTGAGTATTGTGATACAATATATTGCGATTTATAGAATTTTTTCAACTGTTGAGCTAATTTAGCATTTGTCTTTCCCTCATGTTTGTCTTATTTACACAGTTTTTTTTTATTTGCATATGTAGCACATCTTGCAAACCTTATATATATTTGTTGTACTAACTTTCTCCTGCTCTATGATGTCACCTCTGCCAATCTCACTGAACAGTTGATTTTATTTTTCCATTATCATAGATTTGACTTCATATTAGCAATTAATTTGAAAAATGATAAATCAGACGACGCAATATATCACCACACAAAATATCATGATACTATGCTGTATCAATGTTTTCTCCCATCCCTACCTTATTCCTAGTTGCTGCTTGACACTTCGTAATCCTGCTCATTCAAACAAAACTAACAATCTGCCCTTTTTTGCAGTTAAAGCTTGTGTTTGTGTTTATTACATTAATGTTGAGTTGTATATCTGTGCGTATCAAAAAAGCTGGAGCTATCAAAATACGATCAGAGATTCTTGTCTTCTGCAATTGTTTTCTTACACAGAAGCAGCCATGACATTTAGTTGGTTTAGAAAATCTACTTCTTCCCACTGTGTACTCGCAAACAAGTGAGAGTTGCTACTCTGTGACAGTTCTGCTGAGTTGTTCAGGTTAGTCATTGGACTCCTGTGATAAGCTATTTATATTCAACAGAAGACATGGCGCGGAGTTTTCAGTTTTGTTGCAGCTTGATATGATCCCTCACTCTGAGTACTTTCTACTGTTTTCTCTGACCTGTATCTGAGTAGCAACCCTTTTTGTCTTCTATGTTCTACTTCTTTGCAGCCAATCAGATCACAGTTCTCCTTATTGCATTGTTTAAATTATTCTACAGGAATAATTCAAAGAGGGATTCACAGCCCACTTTATACACCAATGAAATTTGGGTGTTTATTTTGAAGTGTTATTGAACCTCTTCAAAGAATCACTGCCCTACTTTAACTTCTGACTCACACCTTGCTGGCTAACTGCGGCTAACTCGCCACACGTAACAAATGGCAACAAGCCCAAATAAAGAGAGCCAGTGGGGGGTTAAACATAGCATCACTTGTCTGTGTGGCATGTGGGGGGGCAAGAAATGACACTGCCAAGATAGAAGGACAAATAAATCAGAAAAAAAAGGCCCAGCTTCCTTTTGTTGTTGCTACTTAGCGCCTTTACAGCTTGCTTTTGCAGTATTGTCAAGTGCACACCTCTGGATTTCAGTTTTTACGTTAAAAAGGACAAAGAGCTTTGTAGGAATGAAACTCCTCATAAGCCCCCTAGTATTCAAAATCAATTATGCAACCAAAAGAGTGAGAAACAGATACAAACAGGAGTTCAAAGGAGCTGGTAAGACAGAAAGAGTGAGTCAGCTAACCAGATAGAGAGAAAGAGAGACAGAGAGAGCGGTGAGCACATACTGCTCAGTGTCATGAAGGTGGAGGGGAGGAGGATGACAGCAGACACAAGCAGTGACTAAGCATGCAGCCCCTGTTCTTCAGAGAAGAAAAGACTGAGCTGACTGTTTTCTTTTATACAGAGTGCTGTACCAACAAACAAAAGAGCTAAATTAAAAGCTAGCAGTAGACAAGGACGTGTTGTGTAGTGTTGTCCTCTTTTGTGTCGGTGAAAGAGAAAAACGGTGCTGCATGCTGCTGAAGTGGTGCCGTATTAATGCAGCTTTCAATGATCGAAGAGGGGTAAACTAAAGCAAATGCTCGAGCCTCTAGGAAATCAGCAGTCTGTACCTTTGAGCAGCGTGTTAGACAGTCATCCGGTTAACTTTAGGTTAAACTTAGTCTTTCCAGAGCTATGGTAGTGGTAAGATTCCAGCTGGGGTAATTCACAATGTGTGCAGATGGTGAGGAAAAGAGTATTAGAAAAGGAGGACAGGTCTTTGGCTGTCCCTGAGAATGATCTTCAAGAAGATATTCACTGTGTTCTTGTTTGTGATCTCACATCAGAGTAACTGAAGCAGCAAGGCCTTCTGCTCAATAGCTTACAAGATAAGACAGCCGCCTTGCTTACTGTTTTGAAAGGAGACTGAGAAACAGAGCAGAAATCTGGTCTGAATCTCTGATTGGAGACTGACCTCGCACACAGGACATCACACTGGGCACTGCTCTGCTTCAAGCTACTCATAGCAACAGTAAACTAAATCCAGAGTTCTTGGAGAGGGCGGCGAGACTAAAAACAACCTGTGTGCACCTCAGGTGGATGTTCTGAATCCCTAACTTGAGCGTGTTTGCTTAACTGACACATGCTGAGAGGCAACGTGTCAGCGAATGTCTGTACCAGCCCAAGTGGCTCTGGGGTCAGCTGGTGTTTGCGGGGGTAACACTCACTTTGCTTTCTTGTCTGAGCACACTTTGAGGCTTAGTGGAGCATGTACACCAGAGGAAATCCTGGCTATTTGAGGTCACTACAATCAGTTAGAATGTCAGCTTAAAAGACTACTGGAACATTAATCTTAAAATAACTAGAGATGGACTGAGAGACAGATTAAAAAAAAGGGGGAGGGAGTTAGAAGCATTAATACCCACCTTCGTCCATAAGATTTCCAAATAAGGCTTTCGTCTTCCTTTGAAATGTGGGGACCTCTGAAAGAAAAAAGAAAAAGAGAGGAAAAGAGGTAAACAAGTGTGTGAAAACAAGGTCAAAATATACTCTCTGTTAGAGTAAAACTACGATTACTGAAGTGACTGACAGCGCATTATTTCACAGTTCTCTGTGGTACATTCACCAGTGTCAGTGGCAGTCTGGTTTTCATCCCAAAGAACAGTACAAGCTTGATAATGGAGTTGGTTCGTTTAACATGATGATACACACCCCTCCTTCTTAGATCAGCCGACCATTGAGCAAATAATCCACCAGGAAGAGCGCGACTGTTGTTGTGTACTGTTAGGGATCAGCCCATCTCACATTTCAAGAAGCCAAAGCACATTAGGACGCCTGAACTTCCAAAACCTCTTATCACACAATCCTGGCTAATGCTCGAGGCTTAGATCAAATATTTTAACCACACACAGGGAAAAAGAAAATATATGAGCCTAAAGCAGATCAGTATGTAGGAAGTGTGTAATAATTTGTGAATTAGAAAAACAATGCAAATAGTTAGAAGAAAAAGGAGCAGCACGCACTTAAGAAAACACTGACACAGACTAAGCAATGCTCATCTAATGCATTTAAGCCACTTATAATTCTGCTGATGCAATGTAGATTAGACTAGACTGTACAATCATTGATTCCTGCCGTGCCCTCTGTTGTTTCCCAGCACCCTTAATTCATATTTCATAAAGCAGATAAAGCTCTATCAGTAACTTTAAGTCTATGTAAGTAGGATCATAGAGGTGCTGATGCAACAACTACTTTCCAGAGATATCCGCCAGCTGGACTGAACTCTGATCACCAACAGAGAAGAACTCACTTTTAGGAAGTTTCAGGAGAACGTTTTTGTTTTTTGTGGCTAAAATGTGCACACATTATTACATATCTGTGATTCCTTCAAGATAATCTTCCTTCTGAATTCACTCCATTTCATATCTGTCACTTACACACAGTTGTGCTAATATTCCACGTTCTTGCACTTAGTCACATCTGCTGGTTTTCTCGAAATAACAACCACAACTTCAGCAGCTAGCACAAACTTCAAACTGACTGTTGCAGTCATTTTTTAAATGTGGAAACAAAGACGTGCACTGCTTCTACCACATTAGAGAAACCATGGAACACTTGTCCTGGGATTAGAGATCTCATCAGAACGTGGTAGCACCATAATGATACATTCAAACTTAGAAACCTGTTCTGGTCACGAGTGCGTATGTGACTGAGTACCAGATCACTTCTACAAATTAGATAAGAAATATTCAACCATATTGTATCAGTGTCTTTGAAGCATGGACACAAAGAGACAACCGGCTTCCTCTCCATTAAGATGGTGACATTGCATTCACTTTCAAGTACCAAAGAGGTGATCCTTGATAACCAGAATACAGGCTCAAGATCAACAGTGGCAGTGTCAGAGCAAACAGGTTATTGAATCTATGGTTAAGGTAGTAATGGGAGTTAGGTGGAGCCTGTGTCAACATTACACTCACATTATGTAAAACAAGTATGCTCAGACTAGCCGCACAGATAGGCAGGTTTCTCTCTGCATTACGCAACACACATGCCAAACAAATTACTTTCCAATACATGACAGATTTCTAAGCAAGCTGACTGCATATTTATACAATGCACTGTAGACTCGACAGTCAAATACATTTGACAACAACTGCGATCAGGAGCAGCCAAGCTTTTATGATTATGGTCTTTATGTAAGTGCTGTCTCAAACTTTACATTCCTGGCATCCATGTCAAGATTACAAAAAATCAGTCTGAGTCTGAGCCTGAAATAAAGTATTTTGAATGTTTAAAGTGCATAAATATCAACATGACATCTGTTTTTCAAACCTTGGTTTGTCTCACTGAGGTTTGCGTGCATGTAATTGTCCTTTACAGCCGTGTTTTCAATTACAATATAACCAAATACACAAACCAGCCATACTATTATGAGAACTTGGGCCATTTCAGTGCAATCCAACACAACAGCTAGGGCTTTCCTGATACAACTTTTTTACTTCCGATGCTATACTAATATTGTAGCCTTCAATTTTGGCCGATACCAATATTGATTCGACATTAGCACAAACTTCTGCATGACAAGTTTTGCACTCAGCTGCAATGTTTTCTTTGGACTTTAATGAAAAATACTGCCACACAGTCAACATCACTCCAACTCCTTGCTACTTTGTTTGTACCTAAGTACACACTGTTGTTGTGATTACATGGGCTCTGCATGCTGGATACGGGCACTGCTAGATAGAGGTGCTGAAGCAGAGTCTAGAATGGAGTGCTTGTATCAGAGTGCTGATATCGGAGTTGTAGATGCAGGCTGATATAAAACGATAGTCTTTTTGTTATTTTTATTTATTTTTTTGGTGATATGGGACAGATATCTGATATCTGATATCAATATCGGATCGGGACATGCTTAACAACAGCTGTACCAAAAATTCTACTTTTCCAAAGCTGCTAACTTTTCAGTTTTCATTCACATGTTGAGACACATGATCAGTCTAGTTCACTGTTGAAGATGTAGTGGGGTGGCGGTATACTAGAGTGTGTTATATTAAAGAGTGGCCGTTTTATTTTTCTCACTTTACTAACAAACATAAAGGGACACCTTTTCATATTAAGCACCAGGATACCACCAACAACCACTACAACTTCAACAATTAACAGAACAACAATCACCTATGTGACCATGTCAATCAAAAATATAAACTTTACAAAAAGGACAAAGTTGAGCAGCTGTTTTAGGTTGCATGTTCACGTCACTTCCACTGAAAGTGCATAAGAAAGAGATCATATACTGTATACTAGCAATATAAATGGCAATATATTCTATCACAATACTCAATGCATTGCAAAATGTTAAAAATCGCAATAATTTTGTATCGTGGCCCAAGTATCGTGATAATATCGTCTCGTGGGGCCACTGGTGATTCCCACCCCTAACATATACACTGAAAACAGCAGTAATGATTACAGCAAGAAATCTTCTTTGTGGGCGTTAGTAAACCCACAAAAACCAGATGGTTAGAGCACTGGATTTTAGCATTTCTGTTCAGCACTGAGCTAATGGAACCACACACATCAGAGCATCTTTCAAAGATGTCATTTGATTGGCAATAATGTAAGAGCAGTAAAATAAAACAGGAAATGTACTTGAAGTCAGCCAAGTTGGTCTGCAGCAATGTTTACTTGTCTCAGACAAAACATAAACACATACATCCAGAGGCTACTGACTGGGAATATAGAGAGGCCTTTAGGACTAGAAATGGATGAAGCAAGTATACAACAAGTCCAAAAGACAGCTGCTTGAACAAAGGCCAAGGAAAGTGAGAGGGAAAATACAGGAGAAAAAAAGACATACATACGAAGGGAGAATGTGGCGGGGAAGGACGAAAATATGTGAAAACATATGAGCAAGACGATAAAGATACAAGGGAGAGGGCATGAGAGAAGACACACAAGAGAGAGGAGAAAGATGAAGAGAGCACGAGTAGAGGGGGAGGCAGACAACAAGCTCGGCTTCAACACAAACATGCCATTCTTTGTTCTCAACTCATGGCCCACTCTTTTCCCAGTCTCACACACACACATTGTACGGCGCTCACACACTCACCACATAGACTTCACAATGCACACAGGCACGCTTGCTTCAAGCGTCTTCTGTACTCACCCACACAGCCGAGCTATTGAGCATATATTCTGTCACAACACACACTTTAGTTGGACAAGGTCTACTTAAACAGCAAATCAATTTATCTACCTGACACACACACACACACACACACACACACACACACACACACACACACACACACACACACACACACACACACACACACACACACACACAGGTACAGCTGGCCTGAGCACAGGAATTTATGACATTTTACAACACTGACCGCAGCTACAAGGACAGTCACGAGTAACACATTAAGCTGAAGAGGAGAAAGGTGTAAATGTTGCCATTAGATGTGTGTAAAAGCTCAGTCACCTTTAGTTCTGTGCAAGTTCCTTGTGGTTACACACGGGAAGAGTCTGAACAAGGAGTTCCAGGGCGGAGCTTGCAGCGCTATGCAAGCCGGCTTCGATTTCACTTGGACCAGAGACATAGGGTTCGAGCATTCACACAGCCCCCCGACTCCATTTTTCTCCAGCCTTTTCCATGGAAACCACACACTTCTGCTGCTGCCCTATACACACACCACAAACTCGGATCACATTTCTTCCACCTGGTCCCCCCTTCAGGGAGCATGAGCTCATGAGGGTCCAGGGAAAGCTGTAATGAAAGAATGGGGCCTGTGTTCTGACTCCAGGCAAAAAGCAAGCTTGAAAGTCTGAGAAACAACAAGCCCAAAAAAGATAATATTGGACTATGACTGTGTGCAGAGACTCTGGAGGGGGGAAAAAATAAAAATTTAAACATTAAAGTTCCTGCCGCAGCAGGTTCACCAGGTATCCATCTGACCTGTCTTTCAGGCCAAAGTGAAATGGTGCACTGGGCTGGTTGCTAGGCGCTAACGCTGCAGCACAGAGAAACAGACAAACAATGATTGCTTTCTGTTACTCTGAAAAGCTGTGCACATTTAGCCAACAGTCTGTAAGCAGTCTGTCAGTGTGTGGTCAAGCTGCCACTCCCTGACTGCTCCCAATCAGCCTCCAGGAATGAAAGGCAACATAAGGCAGTTTAGCAGTCTCCCTGTTGATTCCTCCTTAAACAATGCATCATGATCCACTAACAAAGTCCACTTTTGTCTTTCTCGCTGTATGATCGCTGGGGACTGTTTGTCACCACTGCAGCTTTTCAACAGGTAACTTAACTGTTTCACAAAACTACAGCTCCAAAGTATAACTCCCAAAGCAAAACCCAGTCTGGTTTATGCAACAGTTGCTGGACGACAAATCCTTTGCTGGTTGCTAAAAAGTCCTTCTCTTTCTGGTGGAAGTGGAAATAGCTTCAGTCAATTCTTGAAAAGGAAAAATTCAAAACAAGGATGATCTTCCCTTGACTTTGTCTCCTCTGCTCTCCTATACTCCAGCCATGTTCTTTCTGTCCCCTGGAGTGTGGTAGGTGGCACTGCTGCTGGGCGTGTTCCTGTGTGAGAGGTGGAGGAGCAAAACCGGCATCCAATGTCAGCCCAAACGGAGCATGCTCACTCACACCCTTCCCTGTTCTCCTTACCCGCTCCCTACACAAACACATAGTCCTGTCTCCTCTACAACACGTCACGTCTCTTTCAAAGACTCAGGCTTTAGTCTTTCTAGTACACCTCACTGTCACTGTACTTCATCTTCCATGCTAGAATCTCTGATATACCTCTGAGAACATTTTGTTGCATGTTTCTTCTGCCTTGTGTCTGCATACTTTTCCGTCTTTTTCCTCGATGGACATTCTTTCTCTCTCACAGCTTCTCTTACTCGTGTTTCTCTCTCTGCCCCCTCCCTCCACCATGCGAGTTCCGTAGTTGTGAAGGTCTCAGATTTCAGCCTCGTCTGGCTGCTGTACCAGCAGCTGCCCTCATTGACACCATATTTCACTTTCCCACTGCTTTTTTTTCTCTCCCTCCAATGACTTCCCTTCGGCATTTGCCACAATTCAATAAGTATATGTATCCCAGTTGGTATGCTGCTCTTTTTAAGCATTTGTTAAGCTTGGGAACTGTGGTACAAATTACCACCAAGTTCAAGCATTTTCAAAATTACAGATTTCCCAAAAAGCCACAAATCTCAGATCAAAACAAAAAGATGTTAGTCTCAGTCAGAGCAGGAGGCAGCATCTTGAGAAGATTAAAATATTTGCTTTTCACTATCTGGGATAAGGACAAGCAAGTTAAATGTAGCCTTTGTTTTTCTTTTTTGGGGCACTCTGCTGAAAAGAGACCCCACACTTGTCAATGTCAAGTCACTTAAAGGAATATTCCGGCATGAATTTTAGTTGTGGTCAAACAAACCATAACACTAAGTTAGACACCCCCTCAAGAGATGAATGTTGCTGACTGCTTGATTCTCTAGTTATACCAACTTTAGTAACGACCACACGATAGCAATACACAGCAGTCTACATCTCCGCACGCAAACCTCAACCAAAAAGCCACTCTATAGCCACAAATAATGCTCAGAACAGCACCTAACTTCATCAACAGTACATATAGGGTCCCAGCCATTAGACATCTTTTTAGCCTTGCCTGGTTTCTTAAGCAGAGACCTAACACAACTCACCCACTCTTCTCCAGCAGCCGCTTGTTTGTGAGGCGAGTCGATCACCGAGTGCAGGGGATCATTTCCATGAAGTACTAATCATCATAATAATCATTTTGCACTGCAGATGCGGTGGTTCTTCTGCTTTAGCATCTTGGTCTGCTTGCATTTTCACAAAGTAATAATCATATATGTTCTTGCTTCAGCTGTGAAACTCCGCTGCACTTGGTGATCGACTCATCTTGGCTCCCCCACAAACCTATATGTATTGTTGATGAAGTTAGGTGCTGTTCTGAGCATTATTTGTGGCTATAGAATGGCTTTTTGGTTGAGGTTTGCACGTGGAGACCTAGACCACGGAGTATTGCTATCGTGCGGTCGTTACTAAAGTTGGTTTAACTAGAGAAGCAAGCAGTTGGCAACATTCATCTCTAAAGTGGGGGTGTTTAACTCAGTGTTATGGTGTGTTTGACCCCAACTTAATTTTACACCAGAATATCCCTTTAAAATACTCTCATAACAGACAGCACCATGGTGTTTCCTGAACAGGTGCTAATAATGAATTTTTTTTTTAAAGAAACAGGTTCAAACAAGAATACCAGTGAGAGAGCGCCCTCACTTTTGTTAGCATTAAAGAGAGGACTGGAGACACACTGATGTACTCCCTCCCCTCCCTACTGTTTCACCACATCTGCTCAGATTATCGCCAGACAATATAAACATAATGCAGTCAGAAATGCAGCAGCACAAAGAATATGGACACAAAGAGATCCCGCTGTTACAGACATACACATGGTGAGCTATAAAACAGAAGTGGTGACACTAGCCAATGTCAAATGTGTGTTATTAAAGGGGCAGGGCTGCAGATTCAACAATGAGCCATCTGGACCGGGCAGCAGTTCACCAACAGGGACCCAATCACTTCATCACCCACAGCCAGGAGGGGTTCACAAAGAGAAAGGGAGTGGGAGTGAGTGTGTGTGTGTGTGTGTGTGTGGGGGGGGACACACTGATTTATACCAAACACACTTTGGCTGTGTAAATGTCAATTTGTCATACCAATAACGCATCATTGCCCTGGAATTGTGGCAATGACTAAAAAACAACATTAATCACACATATAAACAACAAGTATTCTTTTGTGTTAGCATAGGTGATAATCCACTATCAGAACCTTCGACAGGACTGAAGTTGTTGGTAGATTTTAATGATGTAAGGACAAAGCTACTGTGACATAAATACCACACTTAAAAGGTGTCACTTTCCTGAATCAGTTACACACTGCTGAACCAATTCTGGAGTTTTTCTTTGGCAACTGTGAATGGAGCCTGAATTACTAGTAGAGATAGATGAAACTATTAAGATTCGTGTCTTAGGTAGGGCAGAAATTTGTATCTGACAAGTATCAGTCTGAATTATGACTCACGATAGATTACTGACAGGTCAACGATGGAATAGCATAGTGATTTAACTGAAAATTTCAGCCCTTACTTTGTCTGAGCTTTTTCCTCTGGAAGAAAAAGAAGGTGAGCTGATGTGTGAAAGCAGCAAATAATAGTCAAGAAAATCCACTGACACTGAGGGAGTGGGGGGTTGACAATGACTTTGTTTACAGTGATCTGACTTTTTCTGCTCTATACTCTTTACTGCTGCCTGCACTACAATGTGCTGTCAGATGAAAACGCCAGAGTCTAGCATGACCCGAAATGAACTTATTATCTGAAATTAAAATGACAAATATACCCGTGTGAGAGGTGCTGCAGATGGGGGACTTACTGAAGGCTTTTTTTACAGGGTGAATTGCAAGCTTCCCCTATCCTTTTCATTATTATTGCACTTTAAGTACAAACTCCAGGCAATGCTGGGTTACTGACACCCAGCTTCCAAGCCAAAAAAAGGTGGATTATGTGTTAAACTAAGGTTCATTGTGCAAAAAAAAAAAAAAAAAAAAAAAAAAAGCAATCACGGGGAATGTTGGTAGCAGCCAGCTTTGACAAAGTTTAATCCCTAAGGAAACAAAAACAACAACATGTCTGTGTGTCCTTTAGAGTGCAATGTTGTATGTTTTTTTTCCTGGGGTAGTCACTGTCTTTTTCACTGAAACTAAAATAACTACTGTGCAGGTGAGCAGATTATAACCAGAGTGTTCACCTGAAGTGACTGCACACACACCTCGTGTTTCATTAGCAGACATAGATGTGTGTCATTCAATACACATAGACACACAGACGTACACAAAGAGAATGATACACCAAGCGGGGACTCCCTCTGGCATCAGGAGCAGATCTAGAATTACCTCACTTTTACGGAGTCTGTGAGTCACGCTGTCTCTCTCCGTCTCTCACTGATGCAGAAACATGCACACACATACACACACATACACAATCCACTCCTACATCAGGCCGGCTGGAACAGCTGCCATTCTTCTGAGGAAGAGCTGAGCTCTATTCACTTGGCATGTGCCGCAGATGTTTTGCCAGGATTGTAAAAAGCCAGGCAAGTCTTAGTCGGATGGATATGCACGCCATTTAAATGAAAATAAAAATCACACTGTTCAAAGAGTTGCAAAGTGGGAGGATTTATATCAGATGATCCTATTGTAGTAATAAAAGCTTCATTTTTCATGCTAAAGGTTGTGTCTCTCACATTTGGAGCTCCACTGTAGCTCTCTGGCAGGTTAGATCATTAAAAAGACTTAACATGCTGCACCAGAAACATGTTTTTTTATTTTTTTTAATAAACATCAAAAGGATGTACTGGAACAGGTGCATGAAACTCTGCAACATAAACTCTTGGCTAGAGCTGGGCGATATGGCCTCAAATCAATGTCCCGATTTCTTGATCAGTTTACATCGATTACGATAAATGGACAATAACTACTCCACAAGCTGCTCACCCCCACCCACATTAACTTTGTCTACTTCAGCCGCTGCTCGAGCTGCTACAACTTTTGAACCATCCTCCATCTCCTCACTTGTCTTTCCCTCTTTGTTATGGACTGGATGGGGTGGAGTCACAACTCTGACTTAGGACAGTATCCTAAAAGGGACATGAGACCATCGCCTACCTACACACATCCAAAACCAATTTTATTTGATTTGATTTTTTGACACCTAATATACTGATATGGGCAAAATGATTTTGGTTATTGTCATAACTTTCAGTATCGGTAAATTTTCGGTTTATTGCCCAGCCCTAATTTGAACACTTTGAGCGGTCAACAGACTAGCAACTATCATCTATTTAAAAAAAAAAAAGGAAAAACACACAACCAGAATGCGCATCCACTTCAAATGTGCATTTATCTTAAGAGTATCATATGCGATGGAGATATGAAATCCTATATGTTGTATAATGCATTAAGTATGCAACCCTGTCTGATATTATGCAAACTACACACACCTCTGAACTATCCTGACAGTCTGAAGGCTTATAATTTATTCAGTGTCATCACACAGAGGCATGTGACACCAACACATGTACAAACACTCGTCACGTGAAAGGAGGGGCAACAACACAGGCGAAGATAAAAGAAAGATTAAGCGCATGGATTTAGACATTGTTGACCTGCTGCTGAAAAAACAGTCTTGTGGCACTTGTTTAGATTCAAGCTTGACAGTCTTAGCTGATTAAAAAAGGATCATTATAAAGTAACAAAAGCCTGATGTCAAGAAACTGTCTTTGTTTTCTTGTAGAGTGAGGGTTTCATGAGGATGAGTCGTTCCTCTCGATGACATAAATCCCTGTCATCTTGGCAGCTGTTAACATCAGTCCACATAGAAAAAGCACCCTGCTGGCTACATTACCAAACAACTAAGCCTCTCTAAAAGCCACGAAGCACCCTGGGGTCAAAATGAGTTCAGCTCAGTTGCTGTATTATAGACAGCAATTGCTGTGCACGTTCAGCAGAAAAACACAAGAAGCCAGCTAATGTCTTACCTCTGGGTTGTTTGTTTTTGACTGATCACACCTGAAGCTGAGATTTCTATGGGAGGTAGTAGGCTGACGGTTGGACAACCCTGACTCACCTGTTAGATCTGTTGCACCTGTTGCAACCTGTGTAAACTACTTCCCTGAGGTTATATCCGCCCTATAGACTGACAATAGTCCGTCTGAAGTATCTACTGGACAGGGGCCTGTGCTGGTGAGCCAATTGGTGTACTCTTTGCCAGGGGTTCTCAAGTCCAGTCCTCGAGGCTCACTGTCCTGCATGTTTTGGATGTGTACCTGCTCCAACACACCTGATTCAAATGATCAGCTCGTTATCAAGCTCTGTAATGGCTTAATAACGAGCTGATCATTTGAATCAGGTGTGTTGGAGCAGGGAAACATCCAAAACATGCAGGACAGTGGGCCTCAAGGACCGGACTTGAGAACCACTGCTCAATGCTATCTAACCAGGAGAAAGTCAGACAGTTAAAGAAGAGGCATCAAACTTAATCCATCATAACAGAGACCTGCAGGAAAACAACAAGCTCTATGGTCAATCCTTCTGTGGCTCAATGCAGAATTAGAAGTAAAATTTAAAGTGACAGAAAACAGGAGACTGAATCAACAGAAGGGATCGAGGTAAGTCTGGCTCAAAGTAGAACTGGCCATGATGTGTGGGAATTTCATTTACAGACCACTAGTTTGTAACAGCTCACACAGGAATAAAAGCCCAAATATATCACATCTGGTAGGTGTCCAAGTTTAAATACTAAAAGTATCACTTTTTCATCAGTTTCTGTCAAAACATACAGTATACAGCTAAGACAACAGCACAATATCAGTTCTACATTGCTGTGTTATTGTTATGGCTTAAGACCTTTTTTTTTTTTAAACTAGTACCCAAGAAAAACAATCCAAACATCCAGAGCATTACCCACATTATTGCTCAACAACCGTGGACCTGTTTTAAAGCTCGCCATGTTCTCTGGGGTGACCTGCACTTTTTAGACACACCATCCATCTGACCAACCTCCCTGTAGCTGCAGCACAGGCACAGGGCTGATATTTTTGGGCAGTATCTTGCAAAATAGAGTTTAAATCTTTAATAAAGTGTGCTAGTTGAACAAGTTGCTGCTTGGAGAAAGAAAGTTTGCCTTAAAGGGAAAATGGATCAAACTTAATAACATAATGGCTTTCCTCAGTGTACATTTTTGGATGTTTTTAAGGAAAGACGCCTACATCTGTCATAAAAAGCAGTAATTTACCGTATTCATTTTCTTTCATTCACTACGGTGAACAAGCTTCCTAATGTGTGACAAATGATAACTGGATCTGCATCGGCGTGATTAAAAGCTGAATTTATGCCATTTCTGGTAACACAGCAACCAATAGGAAAGGTCAGTCTTACAGATTCTTTACCTATTGTTTGAAAACTACATCAAGCATATCGCACATTAATGACTGACTCAGTCTGCTTTGAGAGAATTAGTTGGCAGACTTTAAGATCACTATAAACTTCACTTTCATGCGGTGAGGGAATTTAGCTTTGCATCATGATTTTAAAACATTCAATTAGTCATAAATTGTTAAAAAAAGAAGAGTTTTTTTTACACAGATGTCTGGGTGCGCATTGCAACAAACCTGCTCTTATCAACTTTGTGGAAGGTGAGGGTTTTTAGAGATAGTAGGATTTCATTCAGCCAGAGTCCTATGTCCTATTCAGAGGAGCTGTTACGGCTAAACTGGAGAAACTATATGACAATGCTGATGAGCTGTGATTTACACAGAGTGAGGTTATGCTTGTCTGTGTTACACACAATCACTCGTATCCCATGATTTTAGGGGATTTGTGGTACATATGTTTACATGATATAAAACTGCCAAGAGCTCTAGATGAGGAGATGGGTCTCTCTGTCTGCTTCGGTGTGCGTTGGAGGGAAGTCACTGAATTGTGGTCCAATAGCTTTAAATAGGCTCTTATGTACCCCCATTTCAAAGCAGGTTATTTACAGTCCTGTTGTAGCCGTCACATCTGCTATGTGTAACACTCCGACACATGGTGGTGTGACAAAGCCGTTCTGCATCTAGGAAGTAGTAGCAGAGGTGTAACGTGGGAAAGGTGACGATCGAAGCTGACCGCGTGGGACACCATAGCATGCATGTGCATGCCTATGTGTACATGTGGCACTCTTGCTGCGTTTTTGTAATGCAAAGTGAAATGACACACTGGGACATCAATATCAAGTTGTTCTGGGGTGAAATGTGTAGGTGCTCAGGGACTGTGTCTTTGTCCCAATGCTGAAGTTGTACTGTCAGAGTTCAGTTGCTCAGATGATATTTTTGCCTGAGATGACCATCACTAATCAAGGATGTGTGATAGTGTGGCATGAAAAAGGAGGAAACCCTCATGCCCCCCTTCACACACATACACAAATATTATTATTTATAGCTTTATCATTTATCATGTAGCTCATGCTTAAAGGGGATGTGAAATTATCTCGTCTTCAAACATTTAAATATGCATATGGCACCTGCTCACAACACTGAAGAATTTCTACAGCTACAGGCTGAACACATATGAAACAGTTACCGCAAAACTGGACTGGAATTTCATTCTGCCAAATTTAGAGGATGGTAAAAACTTGAAAACATAATTCAGTACGTGACTCATTTTTGTCACATACTGTCAAAGCAGTACAGTCCATGTGATATGGAATTATAGTTTGTTTTAATGGAATTTGATTGATCGTGGGTTGGGAAAGGGAGAGAGAAAGATGGAGAGAAAGACTAAGAGAGGGAGATGGATAGAAAGAGAGAGACAGGACAGAGAGACAGACCCAATTGAGGCTAACCACCAAGTAGCTTGAAGAGAGAGTTGAACAGCTGAGCAGTGCCGATTTTTAAATGTGGATCATTGTACTGAGTTGTGGAGCGCAGAGACTTTGGCGCTAATAATGTCGTACTGTACTTTGTAGTTTATTTACAGCACCACAAATTCACACATACAGTAGCATGGCTCACAGCTCTAATGATATTCAGTCAGTCTGAAGTCAGGCAGTTGAAATCACAACTGAATACCCTCGATACTGTGTGATAGGCTGCACAATTAATCAAATTTCAATCAGGATCAAGATTTTAGCCTTTCCACAATCAAAGACACTTGATTAATGGGGATATTGACATTTAAAAATTATGCTGATCATTAATTGAAAGCAGAATTTCCAGACTGATTATCCTATTTCCTTCTGTGTTTTCCTGACCAGTATGTGCTCTCTCTGTTGACAATATCAACAGCAGGTCATTTTATAAAGCCATCCACAAAACACAACTTGTGTTTCCACTTGCAATCCCATCACAGCAACAGGTGAGCTGCTTACAGACAAAGTTCTTGGTTGTTGATGATGAAGTGTATCTTAAAAATCCAAAACTAGTAGTGCAGAAAAACATCTGCATCACCGCAGCCCAAGAGAGAGAGGATCTGGAGGAGTGTTTTAGTGAAGCAGAGGGACAGAGTGAGCAAATTAAGTGAAGCTGCTATATAGAAAACCATTAATGGGCTGCAAAAGCCTGGTTTAACAGTGTGTGGTTAATAGGTCCGTATCAATTTAGATCATGTGCATGTTTAGTTATGTTATCATAAAAATTAAGGCAACGCTCTTGTGAAAGAAAAGCTTTGATGCTGTATGTCACTAATGCCAGGGGACAGGGTCAGCCAGTGTTTTGTCCCTGTCCAGCCCTATGAGATGCGAGGTATATGGACTTTTTCAATAAACAATACACTCTAAATTTAAAGACATCTCTAGACCTCAAAATTCATCATGATTATTGATTTTACTTATTCTGTCCATTATCGTGTGGCCCTATTCTGTGATTCCAGACAACTTCATGATTAAACTCTATGGTGTTAAGTACTCCAGCTTTGTAAACCAATACCATGCCTCTCTCTTAGTCATCCTGTTCATTCATTACATTTGCAAACAAGCTCACTGTCAGTCTCATGACAACATTAACACTTACAACACAATGTCTCCTCAGTAGAACGTGAATTGGTCTAAAGAGGCTTTGGCTTCAAGATCTAAAGTATTGTAAACTTTTTGTTCCTGGTAACTTTTGCCCAATCATTACAGAGCTACAGACAAATGGAAAGGAAAGTCAAATCAACAAATCTGACAAGTAGCCACAGTCGGTGCACATGATGTTACAGCACTCATACACCTGAACAGACATAGATGACCATGGTGTCACTTCGTGTGACATAATAAGAACTGTTTTGCATATTTGGGCCTGGGAAACTTAATGTTACTACATCACTATTTTGAGATCAAGTTGTATGCACTGACATGATTTCTAGACATGTATTTATACTACCTCACCCTGGGCAAAGACATGCCCGCCAAGAATGACAACAGAAGTGATGATCAATGAGTCTGTCTTCACTTAAGTTACTCATTTATGAGGTCATACTATGAGACTAGAAGGACTTTAGTGGGTGGCAGCGTGGTTCATAACACATCGACAAGCGTGCAATATGTTAGGTCGCTGCAATAACGACACAGAAACTACGATACCAAAGCCACTCAATGCACATTAACAACCGAAAGCTGACATTCACACGTCCTCTCCTTAGAGACAGGTCGAACACACAAACAGTTACACACAGTAACGATGACAGCAGACACACTCGTTTCTTTAGGTAAACATTAGTCATCACTTCCCTTCCAGCAGTCACCAAACCAGGTTCTGCCAGTGAGACTTCCACACAAAACAATGCCACGATGGGTTTCTGTTGACCTCAGCTCACCTGCTTTGAAAGAAAAACGGCCTTGTCTGAAGAGGCAGACAACGGCGTAGCCCGGCTAGCATCCACTGTTAAAGACATCCAGGGCCTTGTCTTGCAGTACAGCTGTAGCCCGTAGCATAGTAGCTAGCTGAATCGGGTACTTGATAGCATAGCAAGAGTGTGAACAGGCTGAAAACCGATACCTCAACGTTCTGTGTAAAGTTCAGCCACTTTTGTTCACCAGGAATGCTAATCCACACACAAGTGTGCGTTTTAAGTCGTCACCACAGAAAACAACCCGGCGTCACAGCTAACCAGCTTCTGCCAAGCAGACCAAGCTAACGGGCAGCATTAGCAGCGCGCTACTGAAGGAAGCTAATGTCTGCTGCTGCTGCTGCTACTACAGCATTGCTGTTGTTTTTCCCAACACACACTCCGCTCGAAAATCCGATGTTTCACTCGCCACGGCACACCCGCTTACCTCGGACGAAATATCCTTCAGCTCGCTGCAGTTAAATGGGTAAACGTATGGCGTAGAAATAGACAGTATTTCCCACTTTATCGTATTTCATTCGTCAGCTCGGTGGGCACATTCGCACTCCTTCTGTAGCAGAGACGAGACGCCAGGCGTTAAGTACCAGCCGCTCCGGAGCGCGCACAGTTGTTGAAGTTTAGCCGCGGGCGCGCGCTTTGCACGAATCCCTGGTGGTGAAATTCTCCATTGGAAATGAAGAAATTACTTCAAAATACATTTGCACAAGAACATCTGCCCAGTCATTTTCATGCTTTATTTCTTTTTGTAATAATTATCAAACATTTATGTGTACTTATAAGATTCCCCCCTTACTAATGCAAGGATATATGTTTCATTTTATGATATTAAAGGTTTACAGACAGTAGTGCGTGTTTTTTTTTTGTTTGTTTTTACCATACGTCCTCTTTATTTGCTTTGCAACATAAATTTCATTGCAATTTACCTCTGAATTTATTTTCCCTTGTCTGTGTGCTGCACTGGACATAGCTAAAATAACATATTTAAAGGCTTCTGTTGGGAGTTTGAATGATACTTCGTAGCTATGGCCACCAAAAGCAAACCAGACCATGGGCAAAAAACGTACAGTAATTGTATTGTAACCATATCTGTGACTGCTGCAAGATGATTTTCAGCACAGAAAAAAACAGCATTTAAAGATTTTTTTTTGTTCACATAAGTCATGCATTTGATTGTTGAAACAACAGGAAAAGACATAAAACATGATTTCCACATGCACAAGACAAAACCAGCTGTGATAAAAAGCATTGCTCTTTCCACAGGGGGCACTAACATTGACACAAACAAAAATCAAGTTCCAGACAGGAGCTTTAAAGCACATGGTCATTTAAAACCACTCTATAGAGCAAAGTAATGTGATAGTTTATTATAAGCGCCAGCTGAAGCTGTGGCTCAGCACTAAGAATGAAGCCATGTCATTCAGTCTTGATAGTGAGCATACATGTAACTGAGTGAGATTAAGATTAAGAGGTCATGACGCTTCTTATTCAGTAATCTGAATGTAAGGGAAGTCCCCCACCACCACTAGCAGCAGCATGAGGACAGGCACAGATTGGAGGAGACACACAGAGGAGAGGCAGACGGTGGTGTGTGGTGGGGGTGGGAGGGGCCACACAGGCTGGGATTACAGAGAGGGATTGGTTATGTAAGTGCATTGTCCCTGCAGGCGAGCGGCAGCGTGATTGCACGGGAGGAAAGAGAGAGCCTCAGACAGTGAGAAAAGTGAGAAAAGGAACAGACTTTTGTGAATGTAATCCTATTGTCCTGTCTGTAGCAATGGTTTAGCTGCTGCAAGAAAGCTTTCGCAATTATCATGCAAAGAAAAACTGTGTCTCTCCTTTACTTTTTTTTGTGCCTTATGACCTATAAAACAAATTAATTACAGTATCTCCTCACTTGATTTAATATTTAAAATTTCATGCTAACATGTTTCTAGATAGCTGAGACAGGGGATGTTTACCATTGTGTTCCATCACCTCTTCACTATGTTGATGCCTGGGAACAAATGAGACCAGTATCTGGTGTTCTTAAAACGAAAAGTGGTCCCATTAGGACTTTGGCTGCTCACCAGTTCAGTATCTCTTTTGGTGAGTATTTCATTTCATGATACACCAAATGTTTTCTGAAGGTGAAAAGTCAAAACTGCAGGCAGACGCTTCCTTGACTGAACCATGCAGAGTGTGGTTTGTCGTTGTCTTGATAAAATATGAAAGGTCCTCCCTGAAAAAGGCATTGTCTGGATGGCAGCAGATATTCTTCATGCAAGAAGCTGTGTACTGTATATTGTCTATAGCATATGTGTGGCCTATCAAGATGTGTGAGCTACCCATGCCATGAGCACTTATCCACATACCTTCATGGATGTTTGGTTTTGAACTGTGCACTAACAAACTGGGTGGTCTCTTTCCTCTTAGAAGCAGTGGATCATCTGAAGAGGATATCAAACTTTGATTTGTTAGCACTGGATAGTTTCCCACTTTGCCTAACTCCACTCCATTGCTCAGGCCCAGAGAAGTCACTAGAATTTCTGCATCGTTTTTGTGTATATGTGCTTGTGTATGTGTGGTTTCCTATTTGTGAGAAGCAGTTTGGAGCTGCATTTGTGGATTCAGTAATGAAGTGAGTTCACATACAGGGATTTTTTTTAGTGATATTTAGCCAATACAGTGATTTCTATAAAAGAGTCATATCTATGGAGTATTGTCTCCCACAGTCTCTCACAAACTGATGAACTTCTTCCCCTCTTTACTCTTTTGGCACTCGGCCCCGCTGAAATGTCCTTTTTATATTCAGTTTTGTTACCAAATCGTTGCAAATTAACAAAATTAGTTGGTAGGTGTTCCTAAAATGTCGGTTTCTTTTGTACTGCATAACATTTTTTAGTGTTTCATTGTCCCTGTCTGAACGTTTTTGAAACATGGTGCTAGCATCCAAATAAGTATGTACATAATTTTTTCATTGAACAAAAAATGTTTTAGGTTCAACATTTGGTTAGTAGTTGTTGCACTATTTTCAACTAGATGTGGGGTTTCGCTTAATCCCAAACTACTAAAATCTGTTATCAACATTACACAGTGTTTGATTTCTTTTAAGAATAGGTTGTACTTGTTTCTGCTTGAAACCCATATGTTGCCAGTCTTAACAGTCCAGGGCTTGAGGTGTTTAACGAAAGATGAGCAACTACTTTGATCAAAAATGAAAATTTTCAAGACATTTCTGCTGAAATAGATTTCGATTTCTTTTGAAATTATGCAAAACATGGTTTCAAGAAGATAAGGCCAAATACTTTTGCTTTTCCACCAAATTTACCACCAATGCCACTAAAAAGGCTGGAACTGTTTCAACAGCTATTTGAATACGAACTCTGTGAAAACATGCAATGTCTTGATCTCTGAGTTTTCCATGATTTGCACGTTCGTCAGGAGAGTACTTCCTTCATAGCACTGCAGATTCCAAAGAGTAGCCTAACAGGAATGTTGTAGCGCACCCAGAAAAGACTATGAGTGTTGAAATTTCTCCAGTGTGGACCAGTTGAAAGAGTGTAAATGTTTTTGTTATTCAGCCAGAGAAAATTTTTAAACCAGGCAAACAAAGGAAGAATGAAACTACAGAGAGAGCTGAGAGGAGTATGTGGGAGAGGGGTTTGAGGGGAAGAAAGGGGGCAGAAATGGGGAGATCCAAACCCAAGGGAATGTTAAGCTGTGCTGGTATGCTGCTGGAATTTGAATTTCTGGTCAGACATAACAACTTACTGTATAGATGTTGTAAATTTTTTGCTTTTTCCACATGACAGGCATCAGATAAAAAAAATTTGTGAGTAAAGGAAGAGAATCAAAAGAGGAGAGAGAGCCTGCAAGGAAACTTAAAAAGAAAGGGAGGAAGGAAATGAAGAGAGAGCAGTGCAAGGTTTGAGGATGAGGAGAGAGAGTAGAGAGTGTGTGTCAGTCTGGAAAGACAAGTTAGAAGAAAAAAGAGAGGTTGGGGGAGAGGAGGTGACTGGGAGCTGGCAAAACTGTTCATCAGCGAATTCCAGACATAACACTGTTTGGCAGCACTTCTTATCCTGAAACCGAGGCAAATTCTTAGCTCTGGATTTCTCAGGCTCCTCACCGAGAGTTGTTTACTGCCGGGATTCTAGTGGAAAATCCTGAAGCTGGACTGGATTTAATCCCAACTCCAGCTGATGTTTGCTGACAGCTACATGGGGAGTCAAAGTGGGAGATGGCCTCACAGCAACCTCAGGTGTATTCAAGAGGTTTTAGTATTGGGGGATTTTTGTTTCTATTTTGTTGGTCAGCTGAAGAGCTAAAAGAAATGTGGTGAGAACAAGTGAGGGGTAACATGCATCAAATTGCAACAGATCCAAGTAGCCCAACCTGCTATGCTACTTTGCTAATCAACTTCCGGTTTGAAGTCCAGCATGTGAAGTCTGTAGAGCATTTGCAGAGCACTTCTACCATTTTAAGTCTGATTTAGCTTTATATGTGAAAGACAAAATTGATCCCCAAACAATTTTTTTCAAGAGTACCTGGCTGTAAACACAATGGGAGCCCATGTGAGCGCTGACTGCAGTTTGGCAGTTCTTTAATAGTCCACTTGCTGTTTGCAAAACGAACACAAACCTCTTTCGGTCTCCTGTTAAAAATTTACAACTTAAAGGGATACTCTGGCGTATATTTAAGTTATGGTCAAACACACCATAACACCAAGTTAGACACCCCCTCGAGAGATGAATGAATGTTGTCGACTGCTTGCTTCTCAAGTTATACCAACTTCAGCAACGACCACACAATAGCAATACACAGTGGTCTACATCTCCATGTGCACACCTCAACCAAAATACAGGAGTTTCGCAGCTCAAGGAAGAACATTTAGGATCATTACTTCATGGAAATGCAATCAGATCGAGACGCTAAGGCAGAAGAAGTACTGTGTCTGCAGTGCAAAATGGTTGTCATGATGATTATTACTTCATGGAAATAATCCGCTGCACTCGGTGATCGACTCCTCAGGGCTGCTTCAGCAACAAGCGGCTGCTGAAAGAAAGTGGATTCTTTTTAGCTTTGCCTGGTTTCTTTAGCAAAGAGACCAAACACATGTTGGGTGGCTAGTATTATGGCTGGGACCCTCTATAAAGGATGAAGTTAGGTGCTGTTCTGAGCATTATTTGTGGCTATAGAGTGGTGTTTTGGTTGAGGTTTGCACGTGGAGACATAGACCGCTGTGTATAGCTGTCATGCAATCGTTACTAAAGTTGGTGTAACTAGGGAAGCAAGCAGTCAGCAACATTCATCTCTTGAGGGGGTGTCTAACTCGGTGTTATGGTGTGTTTGACCATAACTTGAATTTATGCCGGAACATCCCTTTAACAGCAGGGTACAAAAACAGTTTGATTTCAGTGGCTCATTACTGGTTTGTACACACTGTAGCTACAGGAGGTACAAAAATGTGTGTACAGGAGGTGCAGTGTGTGCAAAAGTACATTGTCAAAAAGAGACTGAGCAACAATGGGGTTGGGATCTGATGCCCCCAAAGTGCTAAGCCCAGGTGACATGAATCAGGCATCTCTACATGAGAGGAAGACAAGGATGTGTTAGTGAAGTCTGCATGGAGAGATTTTGGCAGAGGGTCGCAGCTTGACTGAGGAAGAGAGACAGAGAGGGAGCAGAGGTCATAATACTGATAGGCTAACAAGCAACAGTTAGGTTAGGTTATGTTAACAGTTCAACATATCAACATCCCAGGCTTAGGATTTTTTGATGCTTTAAGCCCCGTATGACTCATGTCTTCCAAAAAGTATTAAGGCTAATTAGGAGGTGGTGAAGTTGACTGACAGGTAGGCGTGCTATAGTTGTTCACCAGTAGGGTAAAAGCTCACCTCGGCTTCACTTCTTTGCCTGTTTCTAGGTCATTAAAAAATAAGGTTGATTCAAGGGTGCTGGAAGCCGAGCAGTTTAAAGACCCACTCAGATGAAAATCACGTTTTTCTTGTTGTCTACATGTTCATATGGCATTTTTCTGACGCTACAGGACATATCATGAGACATCTAAATGCAAAATCGCATTTCTGAGTGTTTCTACATTTAAAATTGCTGTGAACCTCTGGCAGACCCAAACGGCAGGCTCAGACTCAGTGAAATTTCCTACGTAGCAAATTCTAGCTCCGCCCCCCGGAGCCACACTATGCAGGCCAGACTGAAAGTTGAGAGGACGATCGAGGAACATGCGTATGCGTTAGCGGATTGCAATGCTTGTAAGACAGCTAATTATGATATTATCTTTCATCATGTTCCCAAAGACTTAAGTGTCCAAGAGCTGAATAGTTCCTATGTTACCTGCTTCTTCTACTACCCCGACAATGTTAGGCTGCAAGCTAACTAAATGCCCAAAAACATAACTTAAAAAAAAAAAAAGTAAGATTGAGTTAGCTTTTCAATGTGGTGACCGCCACCACTGAGCTTCAAAATGCCTGTCGTGATCCAGCAGGTGATGTCACAGAGACTACTGTAGATCTGTGTTTTATATAGTCTGTACAACGAGCACATGAGTTTGGCAGCTGATTGGAAAGAGAATACAACAGTTTCTTGAACAGATTTGCTGAAGCTGATATAGCTACCTTCCTAGGATTCCTAGGCATTTATCGGAAAGAGTATACCATATGGTGTTATATTTTTTGTAGGTCATCGTGATATTTAAGGGTACCACTTTAGAACGCTGTAACCTATTTTGTTAGCTTGTTCCCTTTACTGTTCTTTTAATCATCTTAATGCTACACCTGGTCAAACATGCAACTGGTAGTTCTACCGTAAATCATTCTTAGTATCCAAGGTCGAATTTCTCAAAATGTTAATCTATGATACTCCAAAGTCCAAATGTGGCTACATGACAGGACTGTTTCCAGTGGGCTCCAGTGTGATAACAGCAGAATTGAGAATACAAAATAAGAGGTTGTCTTAAGCATTAAGAAACTCTGTGTCACTCTACAAAAGGGCATGCACTGACTCTCAGCTAAAGTCCTTTTTTGTCACTAAATGACAATACAATGGATTGTTGCAATTACATGATTATGATATTTAGCTGTTGAACTAGGGTCTATGGATGATTAAAGCACAAGAACAAGAAAAACATCATTATTCACATGTCTAACTAAAACTTCTGCAGAGGAAAAAGGGAGAGCTTCAGGATAGCATGACTCAGACAGGATTCTGGATTTGAACGGCCTCATTAATGAAAAACCACAAGTCTATAATGAGCGTGTAGCATTTCCTTCTTCCTTATTAGAAATAGCAGGGGCACAACCAAGTTCCCACAGGCTTGAATGACTCTTCATTTTGTCATGGACCTAAACTGACAGACTGATATTTTTCCAATAAAATAACAGAGAAGAAAAATGAAGTCATACATTATATTATGAAAAAGATGTTGATGTGTAAATGGTTAAGTGCAGCATGAGCACTTGATGTAAAACAGAGGTCTGACATACAGGAAACTGGCGAAGTGTATTGACAAAGATGACTTCATGTGATTTATATTTAGCATCTAAACAAGAACTTTAACAGGATAAGTACTTGTAGTGCATCAACAGAAAGATACACAGTAAATAGATGTCTGTAGATTTAACAGTAAAAAACTGTTAAACCCCAACAGTAGAAGACTGTAGATCATTATCAAAACTCTATCACAGTATAAAAAATTACTGTAAATAATTACCAACTTTTGCTTTTATATTCAATTAAGATAATAGAAAGGTACCATCAATTGTATAAACCACAGTGGTTTAAACAGAAAAACGCTAAAAAATTTAAACAAGTATCCTTTTAAAATTTACAGTGATGTTACTAATTAAACGAGCTCATTTGTTGTTAAGTTAACATCAAAATGCAGTATTTTGCTGGTGAAAACTTGTGCATTTCATGTTGCATGACCATTAACTTTGACCGTTAAATTTATGGCCCTGATTCTCTTTACCCTTATACCATATTAGGGATCCCAAAGGTCACTGGAAGATATAGTATGTAGGAATGGCCAAAATCAGAGGATGTGTTCCCTCTATGATGAAAATCCTGTTTTCTTTGAATTTAAGAATGTGAGCAGTATGTCCTACAGAGGAATATACCCCCCCCCCAAAGTATTTGTCAGTAGTCAATTCTCCCTTTTGTTAGAACACAAGAGTTCACTTAATGACATGTTTGCATCATTTAAGGGCCTATATCCGACCTTCCATTGGGGACCTGCATCTTGGTTATTTAGAAAAAACAAACTTAGTGAGACTTTTTGTCTAGTGAATGCAGTACTCGTCTACAGAACAGCTAGTGTGAGTGTGTGCATGCTTTCCACTGCTGCCTTCCATTTCTTTGAGATACAGTGTGTAACCGTCAGTAGCATTAAGCAAGACAGACTTTGTAGAAAACAAATATGACATTTTTAAATATGTGTTTAAATATGTTAACTTTAAATTAGCCTTTTGTACCCACATAAGAAGTGGGGTGTATCTCTACAGTGCACAGAATGGGCAATGGGCATACTGGTAACATACATATTTTTTAATTAAGTGATTATCTGCACAACATGCCCAAATCAAAAGGTGAACTGAGTCATTGTTTTTTCGCAGAAGACTTTGTATTAGATGCAAAAACTTGACAAACAGGAGCTTTTTGTCCCTGAAGGCCACCATCGCTTCAGCAGGGGTGCATTTCAGTCCAGAATCTGACTGCCAGATATTTCTAATCCCATTTCTCTAAACTAAACCTCTAAAGTGATTAATATTATTAAAATGCACTGTTCAAATATTTCCCATGCATATTATTTTATTACTGTTTACTTGTATGATTAAAAAGAACTGTAAGAGTTTATTAAACAGAGTACCAAAGGGACAGTTAGCCTGTAAAATGGTTTAGTGAAGCCCTATTAAGGTGCCATATTTCTACTACAACAAAACCAACATTATTCACCATGTAAGACTCTATTTCAAGTATCTCCCAGCATGATTAATCTCCAAAAACTGGCTGTCTTTTTGGGTTCTTTAACTCTTGGCTGCCTCCTCAGACTGATGCATATTTATGGAAAGTCTTCTTATTTCATAGGAAACTCTAGTCTGTCCCAAATTAGCCCACATGGCCTACAGGGAGTTTTCCTGAAGCTATTTTTCAGGCTTAAGCAGATCTGTTTATGATCAGTATCAGTATTTTCCACCGCAGTCGAGGAATAGACAAAGGATGCAGCTGTCAGCTTCGGAAGTCACTTTGCCTGAAACCCAAGCCACATGCATTTACATAATGAAAGCCAGGTTGCATGTTGCTTACATAATGTCACACCTGAGATATGTTAGTGTAGTAGAGTGTGTTTTGTCCCCGGGGCATGGAAAATATGGAATAAAATGATTAAACATGGGGTTGTTTGATACAGTTATCTGAAACTCTTCTTGCCACAAAAGACTGATTTGATTTCCTCTTTGGCATCATTCCTCTCTGAATCACAGGACTAAAAAGCTTGACCGTAAGATCTGGAGCCAAAAGTGTGAAATAAGTATATACAGTACGTTGCTGAGTGACTATCATGAAAGCAAGGAAACGGATCTTAAAAAAAAAAAAATGCATAAGAGTTTTATTCTTGTCCATGTGCGTGTGCTTAGCAGAGATCAGGCTGCATCTGTTTTCCCTGACAGACTGGCCATACACACATTTGCATGAAGGCAAAGTGAGTATGATGATTCTTATGTAAGAGTTTACCTCACATGTGTGAGACCCACACACCTGCAGAGCTCCTGCTTCAAAACCCCGCCATATCCAGTGACAGAAAGTATGATATTTAGTTACAGAGTGGCTGGATTGTTTTCCTTCTGTCAGCTGCCCTGTTTGCATGGATATGACCTTTGACCCCAGGACTCAGAACAAGTTATAAGGACTTATTTGATGGCTGTGAGAGTGTTTTTCCTTTTAAGTTTCAAGTTTTAAAAGTGGAATTAGCTAAAACAGAGGCAAATCAATATCCTCCTCTGAGAAAACCAACTAGATGCTTAACTTTCACTTTGGTACCACAAAGAGCAAGAAAAGCAGCTTCAGGAATACAGGGGAGTGCTAGTTTGACAAATTCCTTTCACAACCAAACAGATGCTTTCAGTTACTCTGCCTCATTAGACTTCTGCTCAGGTTGAAGTTGGGTGGAGTCTAGAGTTCACCAAGGTCACCAAGCTGGATGTGTTGGAAACAACAACAACAACAACAAAGAAGATAAAGTTAAGGTTTTCCTGCTCTAACAAGTGAGACAGACCTTACCGGAGAGTCCGGGACATGGTGAACACAATGTGTTCAAGACTCGCTCACACAGTTCTCGGAAAAGGTTCAGTCAGGAGAAGTTTCATGTTTCATGAATGTGTAAAAGGAAGAAACCTTGATGGAAGAATAGTGCACGAGAGCAGCGATGAATAAGAGGATAGGATGAATAGACATTTCTTCAATAGCCTCTGAGTCCCTCTGCTGTCTGATCTGGCTGACTAACTGTCTGAGGTCCAACATAAAAATGATAAATGTAGGAAGTGACCCTGCAAGAATGAACTCAGTGAGATCCTTGTCTGTTTCTGTCCATATGGTTTTTGTTGACACTGTTGTTACATCATCATCGTCTGAGATCCCACATAGGGGCTGGACTAGAGGTGACTGAGATGTGATGTGGACACACACCATCTTTTTTAAATCCTTTAAGATTCAAGATGATGAGAGCGCTCCGTCTCTCCATTCTTGAGATTGTTGTATGGAAAAATATGCAGGAATATAGATAATATATAGTGCTTGCTTAATAAACAATAAACCTCATCCAGCTAACTTTTGACAATCACATGTTTGGTTTATTGTCAACATTTCTTCAGCTGCTCGGTCGACACTTGTGGCCTGCACTGGTTACAGGCATCAAAAAAGGATGTGAAAATCAACAATCTTGTTGCTGATGGTCTAGTTTCACTCCAGAAATTATAAAAAACCATCAACATGAATGCAAGCTGATTTCATAAACCTTAAACAGGAGCTTCAATTTAAATAGTAGATATGATTAGCCCAGATAAAGAGGTAAACATGCTATTTATTCTTGAGTGTATTGGTTTGCGTGTGCACCTATACAGTGCTTCATGCCATCCCTGCAAAAGTCAGCGCCCTGTCACTGCCCAAAATCTAAATAATTTCTAATTGTGCAGAGTATGATCTATTAAAAACACAAAATATTGAATTGCCCAAAGGTAATGTTAATTACAAAACAAACAAAAAAATGCCATGGCTTACTACTGTGTTAGCTATGCATGAAACTTACTTATTACATGTGTTTTAAAGGTACAGTCTGTAGAATTTGGCAGCATTTATCAGAACAGACTGTGTAGAAATATAATATAATATATTTAAGTGTGTTTAGATTGGTGTATAATCACCTAAATATGATAATATTTAAGGGTGTGGTATTAACTTAGAATGAGGCTTTTATACTGTATAGGCTATACTGTACACACACACACATATGAGTGGGTTCTCTTCTTGCAGTAGCCCAGAATGGACAGACTGGTAACATGTGTGTTTTGGTGTGGAAACACAATGGTGTGGAAATACAATGGTGGTAAGACAAAGTGGAGAGGAAAGTGGTTGCTGGTGAGTGCAATTAAAATTGTACAGATTTAAGTATTTCATGGTAAAAGTTGGTAAATGGAGGATAACATTGTTGTTTCATGGATTAGAGAGGAGAGTAGGTGAGCATTTCAATCTGAAATTTTTAGTCTGTATTTTGCCAAGTGTTCCACTCATATTTATTGTACTATTAAATGTACAGTGCTGGGGTGTAAAATTAAGTTTTTGCTGGAGCAGAATCATCTCATCACTAGGCTGGTCATTCCTGTACAACCAGAGAAAATCAACATCATACTTAATCAGGATTTACTTAAATAAAAAAGGATTATCCATACGAGCCATCACGCCATAACATTATTTTGTTGTGAAACACTACAGTGTTAACTGACCAAAGGTGAGTCAGCTATCTTGTCTCTGGAAAAACCATAAACCATGTGACTGTTAAAATGGGTGTATGCTTCATCACCTTAAGAATAATAGTAATTAAGATAATAATAATAAAAAAAAAAACCTTAAGAATTGCCTGCAAGGATATGATGTCTGTGGTGACATTATGATCCATTATCTTGGTTGAGCCTCAGCAATCTGTCCAAATTAATGCAGAGTTCTGCCTCAAATATGTTTACACAGATGGTATATGTGTATGACATGTGGTAAGGATGGGAGTTAACATGAGAAGTAGGATTTATGCACACTGACCCCTAGTGACCAATGTGAAGAAGTGTTTCAGAGCTGCTTTGACTTTTATACATGTACATAGGAGCTTGACTTTGGATTATTTTATTGCCATGCTGAACACTGTCAGAAAAATATACTGAAGTTCTGTGTCAAAAACATGAACAGTTATATGTATTTGCATATGCATTATGACATGAGGAGTCAGAAGGAGTATTCAGGGGATGATACAATGATGCCCTCTTGTGGCAAAGACTGACACTTAAAGAAACTGCAAATTAAAGGAATATTTTATACAATACAGTACAAACATATTATGGTCTTCCTCTTGACCAGTAAAATAAAACAGAGTAACTAACAATCTTACATGTAAATTTCAGTGTGATTATCGTTTATTTATTTATTTTTTTACAGGTGTTAACGCAACTAGAATAAAATACTTGCATAATTGTGAGTCTATCTACAAATAACCTTAAGTTCAATCAATGTTTAACAATGATAGACAAGTCTGTGTAGAACAGCAGAAACTGTAAAATTGCCAGCAGGAGCCTCTGGAGTTAACAGTATTTATGAGCCTGTCTTCTAACTGATGAGCTATCAAAGCTATCAAAAAGACATCACTTTGGCACAAAGAGAGCATTTAAGTAAGTAAATTAGTAAATTTATAAGCAGTATGTAACAGGGATGAGGATATTTTAGATTTATGGTCAGTAAATCCTCATCAGCAACAAGTAGAAAGTAAGTAAAGTAAGTAAACTTTATTTATATAGCATCTTTCACTGACAAAAAGTCACCAAGTGCTTAACATAAACAAAAGGCAAAAATGTATTTAAAAGGCCAAGACAACAACATTAACAATCATGGCAGCCCCAAAAATAACTAAACAAAATGCCTGAGCAAATAAATATATCTTGAGTTGGTTTTTAAAGGAGCAAATAGAGTCAGTTAAACCCAGAGAGAGAGGAAGATCATTCAAAGCCTGGGAGAAACAGCATAGAAAAAGCTGTTTCCTCTGGTCTGAAAACGAGTGTGCAGAACCATCAGTAGATTCTGATCCACGGACCTCAGAGCCCGAGAGGGGGTGTAAGGCTGGATTAGATCACATATGTAAGATGGAGCCTGGTCATGTAAGGCTCTAAACACAAGGACCAGAATTTTAAAATTGATCTTAAAGGACACAGGCAGCCAATGTAGAGCTTTAAGAATAGGGGAAATGTGTGTCCTCCTATTCGCGCAGGTCAGAATCCTCACTGCAGAGTTTTGCACTAATTGCAAACGAGACAGCTCCTTTTTGTTCAAACATAAAAACAAACTATTGTAATTGTCTAAACATGAGGACACAAAGGCACAAGTGATGAGCTCCAAGTCATTTTGTGACACCATTTTCCTAGGCTTAGAGATTTTCCTCAGTTGAAAGAAGCAGTTTCTCGTCAACTGTTTACAGTGTTGCACTAAGAACATGTCTTTGTCAAAGATGACACCTGGGTTTCTTAGGCTAGGTATAGCTGACTGGCCTAAGCCACCTAAGTACTGTTTATTCCCTGGAATTGAGTCAATGGGGGCAATAACCAGTGTTTCAGTTTTGTCTGCATTGAGCTGCAAAGAGTTGCAGTGGCACAAACATTGGCATGAGATGAGTAATTTAACGCAAAAGGAGAGACTGTAGAGCTGACTGTAGAGTTTCTAATATTCCAAGTTTTTCATCTGCTGTTCCAACAAAAACAGAAAAGAATCAAAGCAAAATCTGATGGAACTGCATGAAAAACATTCATGAAAGCAGAAAAAAATAAAGACCAAGATACTTCAGAAAGACCTCCTTAGAAGACAAGTCAAAGTACTCTAGGTACGCAGCTTTAAAACATAAAAACAGTCTGACACAACACACACCCATCTCTTTGTTGTGTATTATTTTTAAACCTTTTGTTCAAATATCCTTCAAGAGAAGAATCCTTTGTGAAGAATTCACTGTGTCTAGTCAACAACATGTGGACACAGCCTGCTGTAGCTTTGATCACTGAAGGCCAGTCCAACCTGAAAACCACAAACAAGCTGTTTGATATTATCAGCACATGGACATATTTCGATTTTACCCCCATTCGGTGCACATATCCATCCTCCTGTCAAGATGAGTCTCCACAGTTCTGTGGAGTCCTTGACCTAATGTCGAGTGCAACTATTGGAACAGAAGAGAATCTCAGGACAAGCAGAACGTGGCGAAAGAAATACGCTGCGAAAGCCACAAGTGCACCTTATGATGAATAAAGGAATAGAGTTCAACGCTGTGATTTATATCAACGATATGTACTAATGTGTGCTGATATGTGTTCTGTTCTATGCTGCAGTCTGCTGGGGAGGAAGCATCAAACACAAAGATGCAAGACGTCTGAAAATACTGGTGAAAAAGGCTGGCTCTGTGGTTGGATTCAAGCTGGACTCAGTGGAGGATGTGGTGGAGAGATCTACACCGAGGAAGGTGGAGACTATTCTGAAGAATATGGATCACCCACTTCAAAACACCTTGATGGACCAAAGGGCAAATGATGGTGGACGGCTCCTCTCTCTTCGCTGCAGGACAGAAAGATTCAGATCTTTTGTACCAACAGCCATCAGACTTTATAACTCTTATGTAAATAATAGATAACTTTTATAGACATATTATTTGAGACAACAGGCAATTGAATTTCCCTTCGGGTATTAATAAAGTTCTTATCTTAATGTTTGTGCATACATTTCAGCTGTTCTTGTATTAAGAATAAAAATAAAAATATTCTTCCACTTTCTTCAGCTTTAGATTTTTTAATCATCCTGTTAGCTAACACTCTCACAGCTGTATGAAAACTCTACAGGCAGGAAATTTTCTGTCTGTTCTCACATCAGCTCACCTTCCTCATATCTTTCAGCTCTCACTTCTCATGGAAATTTTTCTGAGGGCTGGCAGAAAAAAATTCAGGATAAAGTCAGGTCAAGGTTGAAGCTGTTTTAGTTTACACATGTGGCCCACCCAGAACAGTTTGGGAAGTTTTCAGTAGTTGGAGCGATCCATTGTGAGGGCTGCAGGGAAGCAGACTGATGTCAAGATAGATATAAGCAGATAGGTACTGGCGTATTTTTAGTAGTCCCAAATAAAACTTTGGGCCTGCTGACCTCTGTCCAGATGCAGGTGATGCCTAACCCTCTCAAACATTCTTACATGAATGTTTAGGATGTTTGCACTGATTTACAGATTAACACATACACACTTCAGACATGTTTTTTTTTTTAAATGGAGACTGCTGCATTTATTTTGCTTTTCACATACATAAACCAGATGTGCACTGTAGCCAAAAAATGCCTGTATTTACAAAAATGAACTTGTTATACACAAAAGAATTATAATACAAAAAAAGATCCTTCAGTAACCCTTACAACAATAACAGAGCAAATACAAACAGAACCGTTTTTTTGACACCTCGTAAAGTTTTTGTGCAGATGTTTGTTTATTACAAGGAAATCAAGTGTTTGTATTTTACAAAACTCAGATGCACATCAAATATGCAAGCTGCGGCCCACATTCTCTGAGTGTATGAGGGTAAAAAAAAAACACAAGAAGCTTTTCTGAAGATTCATCATCACTGAGAGCTTCTCTTCTCCATGACGCCATGTCTCCCCTTCAGTGCATTTAAATTATCTATAATACAATAATTACAAATGTAACTGTAGGAAACGTGTTGCTGTTGCAGGTTCTGTTTTGGTCAGTAAACATATTTTGTGTGATAATGACAAGTATGTATTTGGACTCAAAAGGCAAAAGACAGTTTAAACTATTGTAGTGTGTGTCTGACGAGTTCAGGTGCATATTGTCCAAAATCTTAACTCACAACTCTTCCCAGAACAAAACGTTAATGTAGAACCATGACTGTATCCTTCTGAAACCTGGATTTTTTTTTCTGAACAGAACAGCAGGACTGAGGAGAAAATATAGAAAACAGTCCTTCCTCAGACACAGCTCAACAAAGAAAATATAGTTTCAGCAAATGAAGAGTTCTACATATATATATATTTGAAATCATTTTAAACAACAGGTTTGAGGGCTGTGTTGGAGTTATGACACCCATGCTGCAGATCCAATTTCTGCCAAAATGACCAAAATCTAAAGCAGTGCTTTGGTAGTTGTGTTGTGTTCAGACACCCCTCTTAATCTTGAGTTGTTCAACACAAAGGTTTATCTGATGTGAGCCAGGCAGTGCTGTAGATTAACAGTGACGGGTAACATTTTGAGGGGATGGAGATGAGCAGTAGTGCTTTAACAAAAGAACACAGATAACAAGCTGAGAGTAATTAAGCCAGGATATATACCATTTATAAACTGTAACTGTAATAATGTAAAAACTGCAAACTGTATTTTCAAAACTGCTCATCTAAACAGCCTCAAAATGTAAGCCCTATGCATTTTGTGTTCTTTTATGTGGTCTGCAAAAGTGTGATTTAGATTGTGTCCCAGTGTCGAATTAGGCCTTTAAAACTGATTGAACATTAACTAAAGGTGATTGTCTGGAGCCGAAGCTGTGATGTTGATGTCAAGAAACTCTAAACTTCAGAAACTGCTCCTGACAAGGAGTTCTGCAACACCCTGACAGTCACGTCTCTCCATTCTGAAGGTAGCCTGTATACTATTATGAGAGAAAACAAGAAAAACCATCAACTCTGAATGTCCAGACTGAAACCAGAAAAAGCTTAGAGTCTGTCGATTCTGTGAGAGGCTGACAGGAAGCAGAGTTTTGGAGGACAAATCTGTTGTGTAACCAGTTCACTGTTGTTGGTCCAAAACTTTGTCTTCCAGCGTTGGCCCCACGGACGAGGAACCTCTGGACTGTAAAGGTTTGTGACCATCTGAAGAATCAAAAGATTGCTGCTTGAGAAGTATGGTTTGTTGTTTTCTGTTTTGCTTTGTTGACACCAGTGTTGTACACCCTAATCACTGTGGAAACACAATAGAAGGGGGAGAAAAAAAATCTTTCCAAAAATACTTTTTTCGCTGATAGCAGCTCGATTGAATTACCAGTCTGTATGTAAGATAACATTAAAGGACATTTTCCTGTCCTCCAGGCTGGACTAAATGGTAAAATAAATTATTTTTATGCTGACACATATACATATATTCTTGTGTGTGTGTGGGTTTATATACTGAGTGAGACTGCTGTCCTTTATCCCAGCAGCAGCCCTGACAGGGCATTCAGGTCTCTCATGTACGGGTTGTCACTGAGGATTCGGTCGATCCTCTGCTTTTGGTCGGGAAATATGTCGTACAGCTTTCTCTTCAGCTCTGAAGTCTCTCCCGGTGAGCGCTGTGGAGGAGGGGAAGGTGAGGGGGAAGGGGAACGGCGGGGTGGAAGCCATTCAGGTGGACCAGAGTGGGGCCAATGTGTGGTGGGGTGGGGCGTCAGAGAGGGAGGGGGCCGGGGAGTGGAGGCCGGGGTCCGGGGAGCAGAATGGACTGCCTGAACGTAAACTGGCTGCTGGTGTTGCTGTGTGGGGGGACGCAGATCTGGAGGTCTCAGAGGGGGAGGAGTGATGGGAGCCCTCCTGACAGAAGGAAGCAGAGAGAGAGTGTAAAAGCATGGAACAGGTTATTCCCTAATAATAACGCCTATATTTCAATGCCTTGACTAAATTTAAGTATTTTAAAGCCATCACATCTTTAGAAAATAGAGATCCTGGGATTTCACTTGGAAGAAAATTTGTCCTTTAGGCACCATATTGAAACTCCGTGTACTGGTTTTCTTCTATAGAAACAAGGGTTGTTTCTCATTTGGTGCAAGAAAAAGGCTTATACAGGCAACGTTTTTATCCATACGTGATTATGGTGACTTCTTATACATGCATGCAAATCTCTTTTCTTTAAAAATGCTGGATTCAGTGTATCATGCAGCATTAAGATTTGTAACTGGCTTAGATTTTCGTACTCATCACTGCAGCTTATATGAGAGTGTTGGTTGGTCCTCTCTGCAAAATCGTAGATTGGAACATTGGTATATCTTTCTTTACAAGGCCATTCTAGGTGACTTGCCGTCTTACCTATGTTCCCTCTTAACTCCCAAAATCACCAACAGGAGTAATCTCCGGTCTGATAGACAGATCATGTACGCTATTCCTCTGACAAGGACGGTTTTTGGCGAAAGCGCTTTCAAGGCTTTTGCACCCTCCTCCTGGTGTAATTTACAGGGTTATTTTAAATTGGATTATCTGCCAAGTATGGCACATTTTAAAACTAGAATTAAGGAGTTTTTAAGTACTGAATGCACATGTCTTCTTACTGAACGCTGATTTATCGTTGTGTTTTGCATACTGTAACTGTTTCGTTTTTCTGCGTGTTTTTTTTTTTTTATGTGGAACTTCTTGTGCTGCTATCCTGGCCAGGACTCCCTTGTAAAAGAGATTCTGAATCTCAATGGGTTTATTTCCTGGTTAAATAAAGGTTACTACTACTACTACTAGATCAGAGAAGCCTAACCTCATAAACAACTGCAGGCCAAACATACCTGTTTTCTTTACGCAGGAAGATGTCTAGATGGGGTCCGTCCTTCCCTAGAGGGTCATCAGGAATCATGAAGTGATCCTCCACAAAAGTAAACTGGAGCAACCTGTCAGGGAAAGGAAACAAACTTATTTATTTAAATGTATTACAGGTTGATCATTTGGCCGATCAGTGGCATTTTGTAGTAACTGGCATATTGGCAAAAGCCCTTAGAAGGCCGATATTACATTTTGTTTTCAACATTCATTAAACATCTATTTAAAGCATATTACTGGCTAAGATACTTATTAGTACTTGGTTTTATTGTACATGACATACTGGATTCAAAAATTTTAATCGTAATATTAACCTTGTAACATGATGACCCATTAACAGTAACAAAAACACCTTCAAAAGTTTAACATGTGATTTATTTTTGGTCACATGTTGACCTTTTGAAGGTGCTTTTGTTACTTTGAACGGCTCAGTGTGTGGATTGTTGTTTGCCCTATAGGACTGCCTCAGGCTGGAGCGTGACATTTTCTTAAATTTAAATAAATTTTCTTCTGTGCTGTAATCTTTTCCTCTGAACATTTCTTCACTTTCCAGGTTCAGTCTGTACTTCCTTTTACGTACATGACTGTCGATAAATGTAAACTAACAGGCAGAGGATACACACTTGTCCTTGTGTCATCCAGCTGGCAGGCTGCCTCACTGGACTTTCCACTGGCATGTTGTGTAATAGGAAACTCTGAACAAACCGTGTATACAATCAGACATTCACCTCTCTTGAATGATCCTGCGCCAGGTGTCCGAGGTTTCGACAAAGTCCCTCAGGTTGTCATTGGTTACGATGATCCCATCTGTTTTTTCTGCGAGGTGGAGCAGGAATCTGACCAAAAGAGAGAGGGAGTGGTTTATATACACAGGATTTTTCCAAAGTTCAAAGGTCAGGAGCTCTGTAGAGGAACGCCTGGCTTGCTGAGTCAGAATGAGTATGTGAGTGGTTTGACTTTTGTATCATGTTCTTTCCATAGTCATACAGCGGTGTGGTAAAGGTGGGCAAAATAAGCTTCGGCTTCAGCCCTAAACCTTTTCAGTCAAACATCGATGTAAACCGTACATATATATGTTCAGATATATATGTCTTACCTGCCTTGTCCTTTTCTGTTTATTTTGTATTATGACCGAAATAAAATCTATCTATTCTGTAGCACTAAGTTATATGTGAGGACTTCTGTTTATGGTGCTCAATTTGAGGTGACCTCAATATCTTCCCAAATCAAAATAACACAACAATTTATTCAGAACCTACAGAGCCCAGGAGGTGACATCAACTTATTTTTCTCTTAAATTCACACGTGTTCTAGTGTATTGCAGGTGCGATTTAACTGTTCTTCAATAAACAAAATCACTTCCTGCAAGTCTAAATATCACAGACAGCAAAGTCGCTGTGCTTTAAGGATCCCGACGAGGTGTCTCCTACTCAAAACAATACCAAATGTGGCTAAGTTATAAAGTACCACTTTGCAAATCATACCTAAATGAAAGAAAATGTTGATAATATGCTCTCTGTCCATGACACCGTCCTTCCTCTCTCAGATATAAGATGCACAGAGAATTATTTATAAAACGCACACACAAGATACAAATGAAACTCACCTACGAGATACTAAATCGCACGTGCGAATAAAAAAAACAAACAAAAAAAACAAAAAAAAGTTCATATCACCTCTCGGGCTCCGTAAGAACCTTTAATTATTACACACTGAGGGGTTTTTGAGTGTGATTTTTTACATCTATATTTTGAAAAAATAAACAACACAAACAAACAGCAGGACCTTCTACTTTATCCCTTGTAACCTCTGTCAGTAACTACACAGATATGAATGAGCATGTGTACCTGTCGTCATGTGAGGATATCCTCTGCCCACAGACTTCTCTGGACGGTGTGAAGGAGAGCAGTCTCAGGTCTTCCAGCTGATTCAAAAAGTGTTGCTCTGTAATAACATAGCACAGCTGCATTAATACCACGTAATAAAAGGAGAAAAGGACAACCATCGGGCCAAACTACAGAGGCCAATTGAGAGGCTGTTTTAATGGTTAAACATTTTTCAGTTTATTTTAAAAGAGAGTTTGTCTACAACTCTGTACCTGATGTCATTTAAAACTTGTTGCATTAATTACATGATGATCAGACTGATCATGTGTACCTGTTGTAAACCGGTCTCTCTTTTGACGCCACTGTGGAACAAAGACGGTAATCTCTCTGTGGCCCCGCCTCCAAAATGTCTCTACAGCCAGGGCGATGCCTCGACAGGAGAAGAACCGGTGCAGGCCATGACTGTAAGGACAGGGATGGAGAGAAGAGGGACTCAGAGAGGAGCAGGTACATGATTTGATTCAGCAAAGGTTTCCAGTGACAAAACCACTCAAGACCAGGACAAACATCAAAAACTGGTGTTATAGTAGTAAAAAATAAGGCCAAAAATCCAACTTCTTTTGGGTAGCACCATCACATGTTTGTAGAAAATATTCTGACAGCAGTTACATGAACTTTGACTCTGAAAACCAGCATATATAGTTGTGCTCAAAAGTTTACATACCCCGGCACAATTTTTGCTTTCTTAGCCTTTTTTCAGAAAATATGAATGATAACACAAAAGCTCTTTTTCCACTCGTGGAAGTTTACATACCCCAGTTCTTAACACCGTGTACTGCCCTGTCTAACATCAATGACAGCTTGAAGTCTTTTGTGGTAGTTGGGGATGAGGCTCTTCATTTTCTCAGATAGTAAAGCTGCCCATTCTTCTTGGCATACTTTGTGGCATTTGCGCAGTAATGGCTTTCTTCTGGCGACTCGACCATGCAACCCATTTTTGTTCAAGTGCCTCCTTATTGTGCCTGGCAATAGCAATTCCTTGGATATCTTTTTGTATCCCTTTCCTGTTTCATACAGTTCAACTACCTCTTCCTGTTGATCCGTTGACAATTCTTTTGCTTTCCCCATGACTCAGAATCCAGAAACGTCAGTGGCTGGATGAAAGATGCCAGGGTATGTGAACTTTTGATCAGGGTCATTTGGGTAATTTTTGTTGTCTTTATGATTTAAAATAAGAAAACACAATCGTTTGACAGTAAATGGTTTCACCCAACCACTAAGCATGAGTGGATAAAGAGTTTTTGTGCTATCAGTCATATTCTCTGAAAAATGGCCAAATAATCATAGATTCTGCCAGGGTATGTAAACTTATGAGCACAACTGTAACTGCTAAAAAAGTGGCACTGCATCCTTCTAAAATTTAACTGGGATAATGTCTCTGCCTAAACCACACTAGATCATTTGCTAAAGCTTTATATAATTTGATATGAAAAAAACAAACAACACGTATCATCGCAGCATCAGTTGACTCAGACTGTCTGTGGTGATATTCCGGGTCTGTTCACAGGCGTCAGACAGCTGTATAACATTAATAGGTAGCTACGCCACAAACCCACAGGACAAAAAAACCCCACAGACACAAACAGAGGTGAGAAACTCCCTGAGAGCAGCTGTCCATGCCGAGCAGGAAGCTGGCTGCTGCTGCATGTAATATGCACACAACACTACATTACAAAGTCTGCATTTATGACAGAAATTCAATAAATTAATCTTTTACTATACTCAAGCAAGCACACTTAAGCTCTTTGAAGGAGGCCTGGGGTTTACAGCCCTGCTTTGACACCATCTAGTTATCAGCTACCTCTAACTGAGAAGTGAAAAAAGAAAGTGCTCTAGTGGAAATTCACATGGGACATGTAAGCACAGGCAAATATGCTGTTCACTTTTAACACTTTATGTTAATGTCACAATACTGGCTTACTGTACACAATCTCAAAGCTTGGACTGTAGTGTAATACAAAAATCAGCCATAAAAGTTTGACCATCTGCCCCCTTCATCATCCTAAAAAATCCAGCCCTTATTAGGCGATAATCAATACAATTGATTTGACTTGTTTGTAGTAGGGGTGGGAATCACCAGTGGCCCCACGATATGATATTATCACGATACGATATTATTGCAATTCTTAACATTTTGCAATACAGTGAGTATTGTGATACAATACATTGTGATTTACACAATTTTTTCAATGTTTGTCTACTTACACAGTATTTTATTTTCATGTAGCACATTTTGCAGACCTTGTATGTATGTATGTATGTATGTATGTATGTATGTATGTATGTGTGTATGTATGTATGTATGTATGTATGTATGTATGTATGTATGTATGTATGTATGTATGTATGTATGTATGTATGTATGTATGTATGTATGTATGTACGTATGTACGTATATATCCCCTCTACCAACCTCACTGGACAAACAGTTGATTTTATTTTCCCATCATTGCAGATTTGACTTCATATTAACAATAATTTGAAAAATCTGTACTTGGTCAATGAGACAATACGATATATCATCAGACAAAATATCGCAATACTATGCTGTATCGACTTTTTCTCATCCCTAGTTTGTAGTCAGAGTGTTATGGCTGACTGAGTAGGATCTCAAAAATGCTAATTGGTAAGGAGGTGCTGGCAGTCTACTTCACACCCCACTCAAAGGTCAGAAACTAAAGACATTATGAATGGTGTTTCTGCTCATTCATCTTTCATTTCCCTTGTCGTGTGAAAGTCGGTCAGTTATGTCTCAACCTGTGACTTCCCTGCATGCTGGGTCCACTATCTAATCAACAATCTGGCCTCATCTGGCTGTGGTAAACCAGGGACGCACAACAAACAGTCCGTGTGGTTGCTCAAAACACCCGCTGCTGTCACAGTAAAATTTCAGGTCTACAGCAGAGTGACGCTTGTCTGGCCAAACAAAAAGTTTTCTGCCAGAGAAAAATGGAGCAATGAGCTGAAGTTACACTATTTCCTGAGAGTGTAGCGACAGTTGAACGTGAACTACAGTTGCATAAGTATTGCTTTGATTGTGTAACAATCTGTCTATATCCTCTCGATTCAACAACATGTTTACTCGTCCTAGCAACGCCAGAAAATTCTGCCAAAAAGGTCATCATTGTTTCCAAAAGCCAAAAATTAAATCCACAAATATCTCACTGGTTTACAGAAGAGGACATATACTGAAAAGCAAAAACAGTTTGTGATAGAGTAACTGATTTAAAACTAATGAATTTATCTTTGCAAATCGAATACTGACATTTTGGGAAACAAAAAAGTCCTTCTAAAGCAATCTTCTGAGAGAGTTTCTCTCTGAACTCTGAAGGGGGATTCAATTGAAGTAATGTGGAATTCTCCATTACCTTATTAAATACTTTCAGTCTCAAATATCTGCCCTGTATTGACCTTTCAACAGTGACTGGATATAAGAGTTAAAAACACGGGTCTACTTTGCGCTCGCTGTCAGAACTTCCACAACACGTCTCTTTCAAAAACGTCTCTTCTCTGATATCACAAACTAGTATAGAGCACAGACCTACATAAACACACAAACTACACAGCAAGATCATTATCAGCTTGTGGTCAGAGCTGTAATGCAAACTCAAGGGAAGTTCCCTGAACTGCTGAAAGAGAAAGCGATGAATGACACCACAACAGGGAGAAATTGTGCAACCCGTAAAATCACCAGGGTTACCTGACGGGGGAAAAACAAACCTGAGCTCATTAGACTACCGCCACAAAAATCATGACATACTCTCATCTACATCATCAGCCCTTTTATGTTGTGGTTTCTGATGCAAATCCACAACAAATAACCACATACACATAACGATAGGCTTTAGAAATTCATACTAACTTCAGTAGACAGATTTCTGTCTTTGCTATATTCTTACAGAAATTCGGAATAACATTGTCTTAACAAAGTTGTAATTTTCTCACTTTGTCCTTCCAAAACTTTGACAACGGTGAAACTATTTTTTCCCCCCTCAAGTCTAAGTTAACCCGTATTTTTTTTGTTTGGAAACACTTCTGGTAAGCAGGGAGGATGCAGAGTGGGAGTGGCAGAACGTGAAAGGAAGTAGTTGCAAAAGTGAGAAGTTAAGTCAAGGTCATCGAGGAGTAAGACTGACAAGTAAGTAAGACTGACAAGTAAGTAAGACTTGGAGCAGCACAAAAAAAAAAAAAAAAACACATTGAAATAAAACATATACACAAGGGTCTTTCTTGCACAATTTTTTGTATAAAACTGAAACCAAAATCAGGATATATTTTTTCCTTCTTTTTACCTAGAAAAGGCCTGCCTTCTCAAAAACGCCCCCACAGCACACCGCTGCTCAGCACCAGCATTTGGTTACACATGCTTTTTCGACTTGATGGGCACAAATACTCATACACTGACAAAAGGTGGTGAGTGACAACATTACCTGAAAGTGTGGGAGGAGTTTTTGTGAACGCCTACACAAAAAGGCCTGTGGCTGTCACATCCACAGTGTGCTGAGGCTTTATTTAGTGTGACTGTATGACTGAGAGTGGGTGACCTTATGTTATGGTAACGGGGGTGTTTATTGGAAGGATGAGGACTTCAAATATTACAAGAAAACTTGGTGTATGTATTTCTTTCATGTAACACTTGTGCTTTAGCTAAGGCAGTTTTGTGGTTGATGGGCCCTATGCTGGGAGTACAAAACTGATAGTTTCATCTTATAATGCAAATGCCCCTGTGACTTTATTCGTCATAGAACTAACCTGAACCTTTGTGTTGTCTGTGTTCAGCGGGAGTTAAATGTACTTGAAAAGAATGCAAACTTGCCAAATGCTTTTAAATAAAAATCTGATAAAAATAAGCCAGAAAATGCACAAACGGATAAATAATCCCCAAATTAGATCTTGAGGAAACAATGTAAGACGAATGAAGTCAATCATGACTTAGATTACCAGAAGCAAGCGATATCTTTCCAGAAAAACAAAACTTTCCCTCCAGTCTAACACTCAATGCTGTCTGTCAGAACACATTCAAGACCTGAGTTACATGCTTTACCACACAGATGACAGTTCTGATTAGACTCAAGAGTGACGGGCCGCGTGTTATACCTGAAGTGTGAGATCTGTATACAGTTCCATGTTGGTTCATATTTGTCAGAAATGTTGATTTTTTTTTTTTTTTTAGCACAACTGAATCTACATCTGAGCCACTCTGTAAAGTTTGGTATGCATCTTTCCAAAACACACAGCTGGATAACTTCCTATAAATTCTAAAATGACATGAATTTCCCCTTCATAGGTCTGTGCTCCTCTTTCTTACAAGACGAAGCAGCTTTCATTTTTGGTGTGTGCGATTCGTAGACTCACGCCATAGCCACGTTGCTGCCGTCTATGATGATGTGTCTGAGCTCCGGGCGTCCTGGCTCATTGGGCAACCGCAGGGAGTAGGGGGTCCTCAGTGACTGATGGAATCGAGCCAAACCGGTCACTGGAGGGGCGGGGGGGTCGTTTGCAGGAGGAGTCCTCGCTCCAACCCCGTGCAACCCCATGTGGCCGATGGTTTGATACGGAGAGGCAGAGGGCCGGCTGATAGGCTGAGCTGCCTGGAGAGGTCAGTAAAAGCAAGATTTTAAATCAAAGACACACAAAAACAGAGAACAAAATCACAGTTCCCACCCTGAGCTTGGATCACATCTTGCCACTGACTCCATATTGTTTTAAGAATTGAAATTTCTGTTTCTACAAGTCATACTTTTTTTCTTAAAATATCCAGTGCTTCTGAAGGAGAGTTTGGCCAGTTGACAGTCCATCATGACCAAATTTCGTCACGTCTTCCATATTCACAAAATGAACTTACGAACCCAGAACAGTTCAATTACTGCAGTGAGACGCAGACATCACTGAGCACGTAAATATGCCGAAAGGATTCAAAGCTGACTTACACTGGGGGTTGAAGCCAAGGAGGTGGAGGTGGCTGTTAGCCACTGAGGCGTGCTGCGCAGCGCTGTCACACTCTCCACCTTCACAGATCCTCCCAAAGTCTGAGTGCCTCCCCTCGCCAGGAAGTCCCTCTGTGAGACGCTGCCACCTCCCCTCGACAAGTACTCAGTTCTGGATCCTGTCTGAGTGTCAAGGTGTGGCACTGTCATCATCCGGGACGTCCTGCTCTCTGCTGTTTTGGCATTTGTGGTGATGATGTCATCATCGATAGTAATAACCTCGTAGATTCCCGTTCCCCCTTGAGCACTTGAGCTCCGCTGTGTGATGAATAATGTACATTTAAATCAAATCTGTACATTTTTCTGTTATTTTATCACACTTCATGGTATGCTGCGTTTGATAGTAGATGACAGTCGTGCATATGAGAGCAGAGACATCTTTTTCAGCTTTTAATTCATCTACATTGTCAAGCCAAAGGTGAGGTGATTCACTGATGTGTGGATGAGCTGATATGAAAAGCAGTGACAGTACTTGAAATGAGAACAAAAACAAAATCTCTGATCCAGTTTGATAAACTAAAATACGGCGGAGGGGATGTGAGTGCAGGGCAGAGGATAAAATGAGGAGAGCGAGGCTTTGAAGAACTCCCAAGGTGCATCAAAATGTGCCGTCACAAAGTCAAGATATCAGAGATGTACACTGGGTGACAGATTAATTGCTTGAGGATTTCAAAAGTAGAATGAAGGCAAAAGATTAAAAGGTAAGTACTCTATGTGTTATCATCTGAAAGGCATCATGCACAGCAGCATTTAACCGTGTGCCTTCAAAGCCTCCGAAGTCTTTCTGATGGTCAGAGGAGATGGGTTATATGCTAATGGTTCAAAGTGGAAGAAGAACAGAAATGTGTAGATCTGGGAGCAAACTATCTTTCGCTTTACCTTATGAGTTCTGGTCTCCTTACATCGGGCAACAGTAGAGGAGGACGATGATGAAGAGGAGGAAGAGGATGAGGAGGACGAGGAAGAGGTGGAGGTGGAGGAGGGAGTGTCTAGGGTACGCACAGAGTTCAATCGTCTCTCTTTTTCCCCTCCTTTTGACCCCTCTTCATAACGCTTTGTTTCCTCAACGATTTTTTCTAGGACAAGGAAGGTGTCCTCTGTTTGGCCCGTCTCCTTGACGACACGCTCCACAACTTCCTGCTGGTAACCCATGGTTCTGAAGAAATGAGGGGTTTTTTTTCAGTATGAAAGGTGGTATAGTGTTTTATAAAGCTGTGCTCAAACAAGAGTAAACAGTTACAGCTATCGAAGGACTGATTAACTTCTGAACACCACAATGAAATACGAATTACTGTCTCTGACTTTTACCTGAAGAAGTTGACCAAGCAGCGAAGGTTTGTTTCTGGGCTGACTGCCTCCCCATCATCTGAGACTCCTTCACTGGAGTCCAGCACGATTGGGCCGACTGTGTTTGCTTTTGTTGAAGAGGAGACGGACGAAGAAGCTGAGGGGGTTTTTGATCGACAGCTGCTGCTGCTGTTCCCCCGTCCATCTCTGTCCCTCTGTCTCTCCCTCGCCCTCTCTGGCGACTCATCCCTCCGCTCCAGAGAGTACTGTCTCTTTGTGTCCCGAGTCTCGCTCTCAGATGAGCGGCGCTTGTGTGAAGGCCGAGTGCCATTTAGCAGGATGGCTCCTGAACCTGATCCTATAGCTCCTCCTGCTTTTCCTCCTCCACCCAAGGATGCTGCTTCAGCTCCTCTGTCCTCAAAGCTGGTGTCCAGGATCCGGTTCGAGAGCTCTGTGACAGGGGTGCTGCTCTTGGAGCGGTCCTGGTCCACCTCTGCCATGCTGGGATGAAGTGTTTTGTTTATCTGTGTCTGGAGAGGAAACAAACAATCAGGTGAGTACAGACTAAACAGTCTACAGGTCCTTACACACCAGCGAATTTGCAGAGCGAAGCGAAAAAGCGAGACGAAAATGCCAAAATATTCGCCAGTCCGAAAAATCGCTTTCGCTTATACACACCAGGCGCGAAGCGAATATGCATATCAATTTTGCAAAGCGAAGTTCTACCCCCCAAAATTCCGCCAGTATTTTAGAATGTCGCTCGGGCAATTTAACGACCTCCTCCAGCAGCTGACCCCACGACTGGAGAAGCAGACAACTAACTACAGAGAGCCAATTGGTCCAGATGAGCGGCTAGCCACATGTCTGAGGTAAGATTAAAATAATAGGCAATATTCTATATGAATGAGACAAAGTTCCGTTTTCTTGAAAGCTCCGGGCCCCCAGCCCCGTTATAATGTATATAAGCACATAATAGCTCATCTATAGCTCACTCGTCTCCAAGAGGAGCTGGACGGGTTTGCCATAGCGTGCTTGATAAATAAATATCATCAACAACATGACTTTTGTTTGGCCAGAGGTCTAGCAGGTCCAGATATTCACCTGCGAATCTCCGAAAAAACCGACACAAGAGCGAAAAAATAAAAGACGCTTTTTGCACCGTGGAAAAATTGCCGCCAGTGTGGAAGCTTGCATTGACTTTATGCTGTTTTAAAAAAAAGGCAAATAATTCGCCTGGCGAATTCGTGCCTGGTGTGTAAGGACCTTAAGTACCTTGAATGGTTGCTATGGACAAAAACAAAACAAAACAAAACAAAACAAAAAAAAAACTAATCTATTATACCCGACAGCATGACTCTCCTTAACCAGCAAGAGTTTCTGCAGGTTTTGTTTTATCCTTAAACATGCCCTCCAAAGCGGTTTTTAACTTTGCTGCTGTTTCTTAACTTATTTGAAATCAGAGAGGCTTATAAATGCTTTGGAGACACTGGTGTAATATTCAACACTGATCATAATCAAAGCTTCAACTTAAAAAGAAGGGAATCAATTGAAAGAAACACTTCCCATTTAGGGAGCTGAAGTTGCAAAATGAGAATGATTTACCAATGTAGTGCTGATGCAGCAGTTAGTAACTGTCACTAAAAAATAGCTTTAGTGTGTGATGATAAAAAGACTACATTGAAAATAGAGGTATAGAGCTCAGTTTAGTCTCAGGAGTGTGTAGTTGACTGTAGGCTGTAGATTAAGAACAACAAAATAATCAGCTTGTTTTGACTAATAGGAATCCTTCCTGCAGCCAAGGACATACAAACTCTCACAGCGGGGGCATGAGCAGTGAGAAGAATTAAGACAGCAGCAGTATTTTGCTTGCAGTAGTTGAGTGGGTAGTAGAGTGTGTTAGCAGAGTGGACATATCCCAAAAACAAGGAGAAACAGTCTTTTGATATAGAGTATAAGGACAGGCTGACACTCTGAGGGTATGACTGTGATGAGAAAGCAGAAGAAAAAATGATTTACCAAAAAACAAACAAACAACAACAAAATAATAATAATAACAAAGAATGTAAATCAGGCCCAAACTTATGACCTTGACCCAACACACTACAAGGCCTCGAGCTATGACATCTTGAGTTCAACCATCAGCATGGTATGTGCATTTTGCTATCTGTGTTATCTCTGGTGTCAGTCAGGGTTACAACCCAGACGGACTCAGTCTGATATGGATAATACTCAAGAGTCGATTAATCAACAAGTGAAGCAACTGTGACCAGGGGAATGAAAGTGGCATAAACCTACAGTCTGCCAGCATCAGCTCTTATATAATCTGAGCTCTTTATTCTGAATATTATGGAAGCATGTTGCATTCACTTACAAAAAGGAAACAGTTTTTTTGTTTTTTGGAGAATTTATTTTCTTTGCTGTTTTTCAGACTAATTGATTTCTTCTTTCTGTTTTTTTCTGACTATTTGTTTTGTTCTGCAGCTCCTAGACAATTTCGACAACGTGGTCAATGAGAGTAAAGCATGTTATTAGTTAAACATAGGGCATGCAAATCCTGAGCTGCCTGCGCAAAGCAGAAAAACTAAAGACGATTCCATTTATCTGACTTCAAGAAAGGAGAATCTCCCAGTGTCTCAAATCCAAAAGAAAGTAAAACTTGATTTAAATAACAAGTGGGCCATGTTTGCTTCCAATAAATCCCACAGATGGGGGGGGGGGGTTAAGGCATCTGTTTTTAAATGACTGTGATCCCAGAGAATAGGAAAAACAATTAGTCTGAAAAACAAAACAAACAACAACAAAAAAATAGTCTGAAAAACAGAAAAAACAAACAAACAAAAAAAGGAGCTCTTTTGGGGGGGAAGGTGTGTGTGTGAATGCAACAGGCTTCCATAGAAAATACAAACAAATCCACCAAAATCCAACCCAGCAGCCCAGTCACAACAGTCTTCTCTTATCAATTGTAAAACCTGTAGACCAGTTTGTGTTATCAAAAATCTCATTTCTTGAGCTCACAGCGCATCAAGAACAAATACCAACCTGCCCACACTTACTCTCTGTCAATTCAGTCTGTTTGCTTTTATTATGATCGAGCAATTCCTGTTATTATACAATCACCAATCTCAGTCAAGCTCTAACATATCACAGATCACACCATCCAACAGTGAAACCGAAACGTGACCGTTGAATCATGATGACTCCTGGTTGAGTGGGTGATTTGTCATGGGTGCTTTATTGTAATGTTGGGACAGACTCTGAGGCAAGAGGTACATGCTGGAAGCTGAACTTGCATAAACCGTGTCTTTCGGTTTCTGTCAAATTGGTAATTCCTTCCATTGTAGTAGTAGTTTCATTTGAGCAAGCCGAATCCCCACTTCTGGTATGCTCTTCTTTCTCTTGAACCATGATTTAATACGTTTCACAAAGACTATTTTTATGTACTTTGTGTTAGTTTACCAAGTAAATGGCTGTCTAATTTTGTAACAGCTGATTTCAGAGGCACTCAACTACACAGCAATGTTCACAATCATTTTCACATCAAACTGATCAAAGGTTAACCCTGCCCACACTGACACAATAAACTTCATTCAAGCCACAATATACTGGAGATAATCTGCCAGGACACAAAGTTCATGTATATAAAGACACACTAACCAGGGAGGAAGTGTTGGTGGTAGTGGGGCTATGAGCCAGTCCCAGCAGTTCTTCCTTCAGGGCACTGGGAAGCAGGAGAAGCTCCATAGTGTACTTATCATCCTTCTCCTCTACGAAGGACTTGAACGCTCGTTTCACTGCTGGCTCCCTGTCACTCGGCAGACTCCGCTTTTCCTGGATACAACAATACGCAGTCAGATGTGCAATACCACACAATGTCACACTAAAAAGCTGATTTCATTAGATTTCAGGATGAAATAAAATCACCGACTGAAATCAGGACTGAAATTTCTCTGAGGTAGATAACTATTCGGTCTATTGACAACAGAAAATAAGAAAAACTGGGCGACATATTCCTGACGCCCAATGTGATGTCTGGAAAAGGCTTTTTTCATCATATCAAGAGTCAAAAACTGAAAGAAAAAATTCTGAGAGTTTAAATCCCTTTCAAAGTTGATCCCTTTTCTTGCCGTTTATAGACTTAACAATAAATTGCGCATTTGTTATTTTAAGGATTTAATTTCCTACCGGCATTAACGTTACTTCAGTAAAGCTCTCTTTCGTTCAAGTAATGAGAGAAGAAACGTCTTAAACCCTAAAAACTCTTCATATTAATTTATCTATCCTAAAAAATTCTATTGAGGAAAAGTGATCAAGACCACTGACGTCTCACCTGGAAAAGTGCTACAAATTGCTGAACTCTGCTCTGGGCCATCACTACAGGTTCAGCCCGGCCCAAAAGCCTAAGACAGCCTGGCTCTGGCACTAAAACCTCGGCACTTGTGTCCCGTATGAGCCTGTCGAGGAAGAGGCCTCGGGCACCAGCGAAAATGCAGTGCATATCCACCGGATATCGCTCTTCTTTCTGCAGCTCAGGGTCACAGAGTCCTCGGACATATTCCTGCACAGCAAGGAGAAGAAGTACTATAATAACATGTCACGAAACAACAACATCATTGATGATTCACTGACAAAAAAAAATCTTTTCAGCTTGAGAAAAATAGAGTCAGTGTTGCTTGTATCGTAGTTCAGAGCCCCGTTTACTGTAAAGCAAAAGAGCTGACTGTGCTGAAACTCAATATCTGTCAATGATACAGGGAATCTCCTGCCTATGGGAAATGTCCAGATGAATCAGCGGCAGGTGGGTGTGTAACCTTGCTTGTAGATACTTTGTCACATGTATGTGTAAAAAAAAGGTGGGGGTCTGTACTGAGAATACACTATTACTCAACGATGACGCAGTGGGAGGACAAGAAAGGATGTGAGACTCTGGGTGAACCAGATCACAAATATTCAGGAGTGGCATCTAAAATTAAACACCAATTAGAGGAGTTTGTACGATCATCGTGGCTATTTTTACTTTTGCTCTTTTGTTTTACAATCAAATACAATTGCAGTTATATAGTTCAACATAACTGGCTTGCTGAATCCTAAGAAGCAGCAGAAACTTCAAAAAAACATTTTTAAATGAGATTAAAAAGACGTTCCTCTCCAGCCCACAGTGCAATCATTACAGAAAATAATTGAAAAAATACTTAAAAAGTACAATAGAGAAGCGTTTAATACAGTAGGAAAGTTATGTGTTTACATTAGGACTAAGACTTTTTCATTTCCAGCAGCGCTTTTTTACATGTCAAACTTCAGCACGTCACCAAAATAAGTTACTTTGGGAGTTTTGGCAGTTATTTCCAAAACTAGAGGAAGCCCAAACAAAACCTGATACGGTTGTGTACAAATGTAGAAAGACATTTATGACTCCTGTTTTCTCCCAATCACATGATCTTACAGAGAAATGTCCATTTTTACATTACATTCTCGGTTGACTGACAGAGCTTGGAACAGCTGATTACGGGAGGAGTGACTTCTGTTCAGAGAATATACTCATGACGAGAGTTGCAGAAGTGTGAAGTCATTCATGAATGGGAAATCACACCAAAACACGCACATACTGCAAATGAAAACTGCTCATTTGCACATGTAGAGGGATTGTATCATCTACCGCAGATGCAATTCAGACATATGCTTTTGAAATTAGTGACTGTGTGTTACAATTTGACTTAGTCAAAGAGTACGAGATCCACACCAATGTAACACTATTATATTGTAGTACTGACATTCTTACACATAATGTTTTAACTAAAGATGCCATGACAACATCCCCAAGAGCAAATACTGTAATCTTGCATGTTCCTTAGTAAAAATAACAAATCAGAGCTTGTATGAGAGGGTGAATTGATTTCAATTCAATCAAGTAAGTCACACAGAAAGGGAGGGAGAAATCAAAACTACATGATAATATGACAAATGACCACTAAAATCACAGTTAAGAGTCGATCTAAAACTCTGTGTTTAATCAGTTCCCAAATCAGATCCAAAGGAGCCCTGATGTCTGTATCATATGATGGCAGATATTATTATTTTGACTGGGGAGGAAGGTTGCTAAAAGTAAACTTCTGTGACTGACAGTGCTAGATAACTTTGTACTCAGAAATTCTATGTAAATTGAGAAATAATGAGAAACTACAAAATGGTCAAATTTAAATGTGCATTTCCTGGAATTACAAGATACGTTTAAAAATAGTAAATGCATCATCTATACAATGGGGATCTTCAAAAGAGTTTTATACATACGCATTTGAAGTTTGGTCAAGACCTGATTGTCTTCAAGTGTCTTGAGGGAACAGTTGTGTTGAATTGGCACGGCATAGGCAGGAGATAAAGTAGATAAAGATTGACTGATTGATTATTTGATATAATGATTTAATGAGACACATCTGAGGCACAGACACCTGAATACTGTGTGTACCTTATAGTTTATTTGTACTAGGGCCTTTTGAGAAATCTTTTTTTTTTCCAGCTGTAGTTGTTGAATAGAGAAGAGATGTTCACAGTTTAACTACATCACTGCATATCAGCAAAGGTGTCACCTTTGCCATGGACTAAGGGGGCAAGGAAATACATCAGGTGATGCACATTAACCTGAACATTGTGAACACCAGAACTCACTAAGTTTTTGTTAAGATGATCAGATGGGTGGTTGTTATAATCCATAGCTATAATTGAAGAAGATATAGAGGAGGTGGTGGTGTATTGAAAGGTGTTGCTCACACATTGTCCACTTCATTCAAACTCAAGAGGAGCAAAAGATAAGGAAGACCTTTCACTTTAAAGTAATTTAGTATACCACCAACACCCACTATACTTTAACCAGTAATTCACAGAGCAATCACCACATGTTATCATCACAACATTTTATTAAACAACTGTTGAACTGGATTGCTTAAGATTGTCCATGTGATCATGATGCTATGCCTGGACGAAGTATAACCTTTATCATACATCTGCCCCAGATTTGACAGAGTTTCACGTGTAGAGATGGGTTAACAGATATCAGAGACTGAAGCTGGAGCAAATCACATGGCACTGACCTACCTGTTCACCAGCAACATTTAGGCAAACTGAGCGGCAACCTTACAACCGGCCTAGTCGTAATATTTTTATAATTTTCTTTAAGACAAGGCTGCCTTGCTGTTACCTGGTGGTGCCTGACAGAAGCGGCACATGGGGAGCTCACCTTAGCCTTTGACACGTCCTCCCTGTTGCCCCGGAGCTGCAGCCATATCTGCCGAGATGTTTTGCCACAGTGCGGCTGTCCCGTGTGGTCTAACAGTCCAATTATTGTGAACGTCACTTTAAAAACCTGCTCCACTCGAGGTTTGGCACATTTCAGCTCCTCTTCTTTATCTTCCAGCACAGTAAACTCATCCACAGTGGGGGTCTCTAGCTGCTGCCTCGCAGCTGACGCAGGTAGCCTGCTGGTCGGCTGCTCCGGACACGTTAGATCGGTGACTCGTCTCATTCCGAGGAGGGGCCGCGTTGTTGACATTCCGCCTCTCGGGCTGACCGTCGTTTCTGACAACAGCGGCTCAATATTCAAACCTTTGGGCGCTGGAAGGGGCCGCTGGTGTTTTCATGGTTTCTTTTGGTGTGTAGTCAAGCTCTCGGCGCGACGTTGAGAGACTCCGAAGACATGTACACAGTGGTGGAGCTAGCTTAATAACTCGGAAGCCCCGAATGACGTATCCGGAAAGTCCCAGTGATGGCGTCATCAAAACCCGACAATACAGCACGCTACTCACGGCGAGTCCGGAGATAGGCTAATTATCAGCTCAAGGTGTTGTGTAAACAAACCACAAAAACAGACGCATCGTGTCCTAGGTTCCTACGACAGTAGCGGGGAATTTGAAGATCCTGTTAGATAGAGAGGACAACTTCTGCTGAGACACATACACGCTGAAAGAGTCCATTTCATGCAGCTGATGGCTCAGAGGTTGAATAAGATGAGTATTTGTGTAAGATAAATGCAGTGTCAGCCAGACAGACTTTACAAGTACATAACAGCCGAGAGATGGGCAGCTTTGCCCCCGCGTGGATATGTGCTGTCATCACACGCTGCAGCCTTTCCACTGTGGAGCGATGAACGAAGCTGTTTTAGAAATGCTGAAAAGATCATTTTATGTAGAGGGATTTTTTTAACTGGGCCACAACAGGAACGATAATTTATTCTGTTCCAGTTCAGTGCCGTTTCAGTGGCATGACTGTCAGTCCAACAGCGCAATTTACACTTTTTGTCCAAAGCGATGTATAGGGGAGAGTGGGGTAAGTTGAGCCACCCCCTGCTGCATGGAAATGGTAAAAGAAATTGATCATGTGACCAAATATTTAGGAGATGGGCATCAATTCATGGGGTCTGAGAAGGTTCGAAGCACATGGGTGAAGGGGTTAGACATTTATTTCCAGAAAACATTGTTCACTCTTGAAAGTGAATTTAGTCTGTCATAAGTTTAATTAGAATTGATTTCAGACCAAAAAAGATCATTTTGAATTTGTTTTATACATCAATTGTGGTTTCAATGAGCTACAACATGAGGTCAAAAACCTAACATTGAAGTCCACCATATTAGCTCAGAGGACTAATAAAGTCATCATAGTAGTTCTGGGGTAAGTTGAGCCAGTGGCTCAGCTGAGAAAGTAAAGAAGTCTGATGAGAAGATCAGAGTTTCAGTTCAGATTGTTGAAATGTGTTACTTTTTCTTTTCAAAATTACAGCTGTGAATGTTCTGACTCACTTAAAGACATTCTCGTGTTAAAATGACTTTTTACAAAACAGCTTTTTAGCAGTTATATGCAATGATAATAAAAAGAAGCATTGTACCAGTTAAATAGCGTATAATAGATAAAAATACACATGAATGTGAAAAAGTGACTGTTATTCAGGGAGAGAGAAGGTGAGGGAGGGCTGGGATGGAGAGTGGGGGGGTTGTAGGGATACGGATCAACGTACCCCGCTCCTATGTTCAACTTACCCCATACACTGGGAAAGTTAAACATAGGAGACCACCTTTTTTTGGCATGCTATATTATCGAGACAGTTATGTTTACACTCATTCTGTTGGTTTGCAGGGATGCACAACATCTTGAAATCATAGACTGTATATACCATGGACAACTTGGTTCCGCCTACCGCCTGTATATGGATTTGAAGCCAAAAAGCTCTCGGTATTTTCGGAATTTTTCTTCATTTCCTGAAACCAGCGCTGCGCAGTAGCGATGCACGCATTCGGCCGCACAGTCGCAGAGAGTCACTGTGTATCGTTTTTGTTTGTTTACTGTAAAGCGCTTTGTGACCTTGGTCTGTGAAAGGGGCTGTAAATAAAGTTTACTTACTTACTTACTGTGATGATGCTTGCCTCAAACAGCGTACCCCCCCGGGTGAGCTACACAATCCCTGAACGCCCATAGGCTGTATCAGGTGTCAATCATAGAAAACACGAACCCCCTAATAACTTTTAAAAAATGGAGCTTCACAGAAAAAAGAGGACTTGAGCAAAAACCAGTCTGACAGTAACTACATGTCAACATCACAAGCAGGGGGGAGAAAAATTTATGTTTTGTGTAATAAATTTCTAAAGGTTGTCCACAGTCCCATAAGCTTTGCTGGCGGAGGCGGGATTTATGACCTATACTGCAGCCCATCAACAGAGGGTGCTGTTCTCAGAGTGGCTTCACCCAGCGAGGAGGCAGACTCTGTCCATTCTTTATACAGTCTATGCTTTAAATATATGCAGATACACTAGTTAGAGACAAAACTATGGCTGCCTTGATGTAGTGATCAGAAATATGAAAAATGGCTCATCTTATCCCACTTTCCCCTATATTAGAGAGTAAGTACAACATGAGCAAAGATCCAAGCAGAAGAAAACAGGAGTAAAAACCCAAAAAACGCTACAAGTTATCATCAATATTACCATCTTTATCAGTTAACACCATCACCATAGGTGCCAAATTATGAAGAGCAGAATTGTTCACAAAGAGCTAAAGGCAAAAGTTTCTCAAAAGTACAAGGCGACTGTTTCTGTACCAGTCATTCTATCACCGTGGAGGACAGAGGACAAGAGCTGGGCTCAAAAGCACAAGTGTTCTCTAAAGAGCTGAGAGTATAGCTTTTTCTCAACAGTATGAAGGTGGATCTGGGACGGACAACAGAGGAGAAAAGAAAGGAGTGAAGACCTGCATTTTAGAAGTGAAGGTAGGCAGGAGCTGATTTAGTTGCAGTTTTGAAGGCAAAAAGTTGGGTTTTATATTTGAGGCAGGCTGCCACATGGAAGCCATTGAGGAGAGGAACAACAGATTTGGGTTAATTGAACACCAGACAAGCTTTCAGTGCAGCGCGTAAATACGATTTCTATCTCTTTTATCTTCAGTCACTCTGTGGCCTATTCGAGTCACACACATGTGGACAGAATAAATGCTGAGTTACTGATCTTAACAGTATATCCTGCTAGATTTGAGTTTTAAGGTCAGCAGTAATATCAAACTGTAAACTGCACTGTTTTAAATCTGAAGAGTTTCATTATTTAAATACAACTCGTTCAAGTGCTGATTATGTGATTAAAGTAAATGCTAAAAATGAAGCATTAAGACAGAAGTTGTTGAAATTTACAAACCCAACATTTTCAGTAAAAATAGTTCTGTTGAAAAGGGCTATCATTGATCAGCATACTGAACACAGGTGGAGTCATAATGTCCTGAAAAAAATTGTTTCAAGTTATAGCTCTGGATTAGAAAGACAAAATTGTGTTTTGTTTTAAAAGTTACAGATCCCACCTCTTAAGGAGTTAGTAGGAGGTTTGAAGGATGAATGAAACACTGCAGACTCTAGAGGCCATCCCACGTTTCATTTAATTAAGTGCACCAAGTGACAAAAGGCTGAATAAAGGAGCTCACAGCTCATCATGACTAAGATGACACTGCATCTACTCTTACAGAGCACAGGGAAGGACAGAGTGTCATTCACCTGTTTGAACTTTACCACCACTTGAAAACTTTAGGGTCACTGTGGGCTTTAAGTGGCTAACTTTGTTTTGACTGATAAACTTCTGTTGCAGAAGCAACAATCAAGAAACAAATGTTTACTGAGAGTAAAAGAGTAAAGCTGCTGCTATGCTTTGAGAAACCCGTTTTATCAGGCTCTAACAATCACATGCACTTTCACTTCACTAAAATCTAAAGATGTGCCTCAAAATAACTGTGTTCAAATGGAGGTGAGGTCTTTGATCACTTGAAAACTTTTAATAAAAAGTTGAACTTCTATTCCATCTGTCAAACGTAGTCAGGTGCATTCTCAAAGCATTTCTCTACAAATAAACAAAAATACCAAACAACCAAAAATAAGCACAATATCAAAACAGTTTCATCATCAAGGAAAGCCCACCTTACTTGCGTTATTCATTACCTTTGTGAAGTAGCAGGTTCAGGTTTTGTTTTTAATGCCTCTGTCAGTTTTTAATGGTGACACCCAATTCACCAATTTATACTTTAACTTTATTTGACACACAGAGTAGAGTGTTGGCAATTTGCTCCATATTATCAGTAATTGGATGAGAACAATATATTCTGAAGTCCTGAAATCCAGAGGTAAGTTATCTGCTTATGTAACAGGTGATCTGATGACAGATCATTGCGATTACTATCAGTTATTTTCATCTCCGTTATTTTAGAGTATATATTACCGCCCACATAGATTTGAGTTTTGATCAGTCATTAATCTGTCAATGTTTACTCTTCAAGTGTGTGAACTGAACAACAGCTTCCTCATGATACTGAACATAAGAGTTAGTCAATATACACTCAACATACAGTCATGTCCGGGGGGAAAAAGTTTAATACTTAAGGTTAAAGACTGGAGTTATGTGATTTGACAGACCGACTTTGGCATATGGACTGAGCGGGGAGATTTTGAGATTGAAGGATGACTGATCTGAGCAGTAACCAGAAAATCCCCCATGCACTCTAGACTCTGGTAGTGAGTTTTTACCCGTAAGTCCTTTCAGTTCCCCTTAGTTACAATGGTATTGAGAATCATTTAAAAATTATCCAAAAGTGCATATATATATATATATATATATATATATATATATATAGATAGATAGATAGATAGATAGATAGATAGAAAGATGAAAAGCCCTTTATCCTGATATATAATTCATCAAATACTGAGATATTGATACAGTAGGACTGTTTTGGTATTACTGTCACCCATTGTGGTACTGTGATACTAAAAGCACAAGTTTTGTTTTGTGAACTAGATTAAGCCTGAAAAAAAAAAAAAAACATTCTGAGGAGCATTCAGACCAAGTTGCCAGAACCAGCAGAACAACACAGAATGGTATCATCTGCATAAATATGGATATACAGTCAGTGAGAGACAAGGCTAATAACATGGATAGTAAATTAGAGCTGTCCCAATATAAAATATTTGGAAAATGTTGTTATTGTGATACTTTATGGCCACAATAACCATGAGGTGAAAATCTGATATTGTGCCAGCTTTACTTAAGAGGACCCAGGACTGTTCCATGTGGACATCTCTGGTTAACGTAGAAACTCTGATTGAAAATTTCCAGCTTTGGCACATTCAAAAAGATCAGAAAGTTTATTCTGAAACCAAGTATTGAAGTCAAGTCATTAAGCTTTTGACAGGTCAAATGACTTGCTAGGCCTGGATGGATGATGATCAAAACTGATGATTCTGTGTGGACCAGGAAGAGATAATAAGGAGGAGAGGAACACAGGTAATGTCAGCATGAAGGAAGTAAAGTCGGTAAAAGAATCATATCTTAGGTGGACAGAAAAGTGATAGGCAAACAATGAGGGTGTGTCACCATGCTATTGGATGAAGAGACCAGCTGGTGAAACAGCTGATGAAACTGAAAGCCCCAGACAATAACAGCTGGGAAACGTGAGTGAA